TGCACTGTGCTGGCTTCCCCACCCTGGGAACACACACCTGCAATGCACTGTGCTGGCTTCCCCACCTCGGACCACACCTGCAGTGCACTGTGCTGGCTTCCCCACCCTGGGAACACACACCTGCAATGCACTGTGCTAGCTTCCCCACCCTGGGAACACACATCTGCAATGCACTGTGCTGGCTTCCCCACCTCGGACCACACCTGCAGTGCACTGTGCTGGCTTCCCCACCCTGGGAACACACACCTGCAGTGCACTGTGCTGGCTTCCCCACCTCGGACCACACCTGCAGTGCACTGTGCTGGCTTCCCCACCCTGGGAACACACACCTGCAGTGCACTGTGCTGGCTTCCCCACCCTGGGAACACACACCTGCAATGCACTGTGCTGGCTTCCCCACCCTGGGAACACACACCTGCAGTGCACTGTGCTGGCTTCCCCACCCTGGGAACACACACCTGCAGTGCACTGTGCTGGCTTCCCCACCCTGGGAACACACACCTGCATTGCTCTGTGCTGGCTTCCCCACCCTCTGAACACACCTGCAGTGCACTGTGCTGGCTTCCCCACCCTGGGAACACACACCTGCAGTGCACTGTGCTGGCTTCCCCACCCTGGGAACACACACCTGCAATGCACTGTGCTGGCTTCCCCACCCTGGGAACACACACCTGCAGTGCACTGTGCTGGCTTCCCCACCCTGGGAACACACCTGCAATGCACTGTGCTGGCTTCCCCACCTCGGACCACACCTGCAGTGCACTGTGCTGGCTTCCCCACCCTGGGAACACACACCTGCAATGCACTGTGCTAGCTTCCCCACCCTGGGAACACACACCTGCAATGCACTGTGCTGGCTTCCCCACCTCGGACCACACCTGCAGTGCACTGTGCTGGCTTCCCCACCCTGGGAACACACACCTGCAGTGCACTGTGCTGGCTTCCCCACCCTGGGAACACACACCTGCAGTGCACTGTGCTGGCTTCCCCACCCTGGGAACACACACCTGCAATGCACTGTGCTGGCTTCCCCACCCTGGGAACACACACCTGCAATGCACTGTGCTGGCTTCCCCACCTCGGACCACACCTGCAGTGCACTGTGCTGGCTTCCCCACCCTGGGAACACACACCTGCAATGCACTGTGCTGGCTTCCCCACCTCGGACCACACCTGCAGTGCACTGTGCTGGCTTCCCCACCTCGGACCACACACCTGAAATGCACTGTGCTGGCTTCCCCACCCTCGGAACACACACCTGCAGTGCACTGTGCTGGCTTCCCCACCCTGGGAACACACACCTGCAATGCACTGTGCTGGCTTCCCCACCTCGGACCACACCTGCAGTGCACTGTGCTGGCTTCCCCACCCTGGGAACACACACCTGCAGTGCACTGTGCTGGCTTCCCCACCCTGGGAACACACACCTGCATTGCACTGTGCTGGCTTCCCCACCCTGGGAACACACACCTGCAATGCACTGTGCTGGCTTCCCCACCTCGGACCACACCTGCAGTGCACTGTGCTGGCTTCCCCACCCTGGGAACACACACCTGCAATGCACTGTGCTAGCTTCCCCACCCTGGGAACACACATCTGCAATGCACTGTGCTGGCTTCCCCACCTCGGACCACACCTGCAGTGCACTGTGCTGGCTTCCCCACCCTGGGAACACACACCTGCAGTGCACTGTGCTGGCTTCCCCACCTCGGACCACACCTGCAGTGCACTGTGCTGGCTTCCCCACCCTGGGAACACACACCTGCAGTGCACTGTGCTGGCTTCCCCACCCTGGGAACACACACCTGCAATGCACTGTGCTGGCTTCCCCACCCTGGGAACACACACCTGCAGTGCACTGTGCTGGCTTCCCCACCCTGGGAACACACACCTGCAGTGCACTGTGCTGGCTTCCCCACCCTGGGAACACACACCTGCAGTGCACTGTGCTGGCTTCCCCACCCTCGGAACACACCTGCAGTGCACTGTGCTGGCTTCCCCACCCTGGGAACACACACCTGCAGTGCACTGTGCTGGCTTCCCCACCCTGGGAACACACACCTGCAATGCACTGTGCTGGCTTCCCCACCCTGGGAACACACACCTGCAGTGCACTGTGCTGGCTTCCCCACCCTGGGAACACACCTGCAATGCACTGTGCTGGCTTCCCCACCTCGGACCACACCTGCAGTGCACTGTGCTGGCTTCCCCACCCTGGGAACACACACCTGCAATGCACTGTGCTAGCTTCCCCACCCTGGGAACACACACCTGCAATGCACTGTGCTGGCTTCCCCACCTCGGACCACACCTGCAGTGCACTGTGCTGGCTTCCCCACCCTGGGAACACACACCTGCAATGCACTGTGCTGGCTTCCCCACCTCGGACCACACCTGCAGTGCACTGTGCTGGCTTCCCCACCCTGGGAACACACACCTGCAATGCACTGTGCTGGCTTCCCCACCTCGGACCACACCTGCAGTGCACTGTGCTGGCTTCCCCACCCTGGGAACACACACCTGCAATGCACTGTGCTGGCTTCCCCACCTCGGACCACACCTGCAGTGCACTGTGCTGGCTTCCCCACCCTGGGAACACACACCTGCAGTGCACTGTGCTGGCTTCCCCACCCTGGGAACACACACCTGCAGTGCACTGTGCTGGCTTCCCCACCCTGGGAACACACACCTGCAGTGCACTGTGCTGGCTTCCGCACCCTGGGAACACACACCTGCAGTGCACTGTGCTGGCTTCCCCACCCTGGGAACACACACCTGCAGTGCACTGTGCTGGCTTCCCCACCCTCGGAACACACACCTGCAATGCACTGTGCTGGCTTCCCCACCCTGGGAACACACACCTGCAATGCACTGTGCTGGCTTCCCCACCTCGGACCACACACCTGCAGTGCACTGTGCTGGCTTCCCCACCCTGGGAACACACACCTGCAGTGCACTGTGCTGGCTTCCCCACCTCGGACCACACACCTGCAGTGCACTGTGCTGGCTTCCCCACCCTGGGAACACACACCTGCAGTGCACTGTGCTGGCTTCCCCACCTCGGACCACACCTGCAGTGCACTGTGCTGGCTTCCCCACCCTGGGAACACACACCTGCAATGCACTGTGCTGGCTTCCCCACCTCGGACCACACCTGCAGTGCACTGTGCTGGCTTCCCCACCCTGGGAACACACACCTGCAATGCACTGTGCTGGCTTCCCCACCTCGGACCACACCTGCAGTGCACTGTGCTGGCTTCCCCACCCTGGGAACACACACCTGCAGTGCACTGTGCTGGCTTCCCCACCCTGGGAACACACACCTGCAGTGCACTGTGCTGGCTTCCCCACCCTGGGAACACACACCTGCAGTGCACTGTGCTGGCTTCCCCACCCTGGGAACACACACCTGCAGTGCACTGTGCTGGCTTCCCCACCCTGGGAACACACACCTGCAGTGCACTGTGCTGGCTTCCCCACCCTGGGAACACACACCTGCAGTGCACTGTGCTGGCTTCCCCACCCTGGGAACACACACCTGCAGTGCACTGTGCTGGCTTCCCCACCCTGGGAACACACACCTGCAATGCACTGTGCTGGCTTCCCCACCCTGGGAACACACACCTGCAATGCACTGTGCTGGCTTCCCCACCTCGGACCACACACCTGCAGTGCACTGTGCTGGCTTCCCCACCCTGGGAACACACACCTGCAGTGCACTGTGCTGGCTTCCCCACCTCGGACCACACACCTGCAGTGCACTGTGCTGGCTTCCCCACCCTGGGAACACACACCTGCAGTGCACTGTGCTGGCTTCCCCACCTCGGACCACACACCTGCAGTGCACTGTGCTGGCTTCCCCACCCTGGGAACACACACCTGCAGTGCACTGTGCTGGCCTCCCCACCCTGGGAACACACACCTGCAATGCACTGTGCTGGCTTCCCCACCCTGGGAACACACACCTGCAATGCACTGTGCTGGCTTCCCCACCTCGGACCACACACCTGCAGTGCACTGTGCTGGCTTCCCCACCCTGGGAACACACACCTGCAGTGCACTGTGCTGGCTTCCCCACCTTGGACCACACACCTGCAGTGCACTGTGCTGGCTTCCCCACCCTGGGAACACACACCTGCAGTGCACTGTGCTGGCTTCCCCACCCTGGGAACACACACCTGCAGTGCACTGTGCTGGCTTCCCCACCTCGGACCACACACCTGCAGTGCACTGTGCTGGCTTCCCCACCCTGGGAACACACCTGCAGTGCACTGTGCTGGCTTCCCCACCCTGGGAACACACACCTGCAGTGCACTGTGCTGGCTTCCCCACCCTGGGAACACACACCTGCAGTGCACTGTGCTGGCTTCCCCACCCTGGGAACACACACCTGCAGTGCACTGTGCTGGCTTCCCCACCCTGGGAACACACACCTGCAATGCACTGTGCTGGCTTCCCCACCCTGGGAACACACACCTGCAATGCACTGTGCTGGCTTCCTGGCTTCCCCACACCCACTGTCCACAGATGCCAGCCTGTCAGCCATCGGTCCCCACCTCACCCCAGCCACTCTGGATGAGGCCTCACTGGTCCCTTGAGGGAGGCTGCAGCAGCCATCTCTCATGTTCCAGGACTCTGGGCCTTGGATTCAGGAAGCCTTATCTAATCCCAGCTGTCAACCAAGCTGGGTGGCTTCAGGTCCAGTCTTACTCGTGCCAACCCTGTTTCCTCATCTGAGAATGTGATCAGCATCTTCATTCCAGAGCTGATGGCAATTAGAAGACTTAAAAACCCCTTCTATTAGAACTGGCATCTTTATGGGAGTGGCTGTTTTTCCAAATACAATGGCAGCTGTCATCTTCCCTCCAGCTGTGCAAATGCCACCCTGGTTGCCGCCACCCAACCTGCCTTCTGCATCCCAACTGTACCCTGGGGTCAGGGAGAGAGAGGGGCTGGATCTGTGAAGCGGGGCGCCTCCACCCAGGGAGGGCGTCACTCACCGAAGGTCGGATCTGCTGCTTTGAGCTTTGACAGGCAGCCCTCGATGCCACCAAGACTCTTGTCATTGGTCCATTTTACATACTGAAATGGGAAAAGCAAAACAAGTCCTCACGGAGCCCTTGGATCATAGTAACAAAGGTGTGGCTCTAAATCCAGGTTTACACTTCAGGGGACGGAGGCAGGCAGGTCATCTGAGGTAAGGAGTTCGAGACCAGCCTGACCAACATGGTGAAATCCCATGTCTACTAAAAATACAAAAATGAGTGGGGCGTGGTGGTGCACGCCCACAGTCCCAGCTACTTGGTAGGCAGAGGCATGAGAATCACTTGAACCCAGGGGCCGAGGTTGCAGTGAGCCAAGATCACGCCACTGCACTCCAGCCTGGATGACAGAGATTCCATCTCGAAAAAACCAAAAAACAAAAATAAAGCCAGATTTGTTTTTATTTGTAGAACATTGAGTGTTTTCTGGACTTTAACCCAAAGAAGGCATCGCTTGGCTGATAACCTTCTTCATATGAGGAAATGAAATACGCATCACCCAAGGCACGCTTTCTAAGGCTAGGGATGCTGCATTTCTAAAGAAGAACATCAAAAGGCAGGTTCTGACCGGGCGCGATGGCTCATGCCTGTAATCCCAGCACTTTGGGAGGCCGAGGTGGGTGGATGACTTGAAGGCAGGAGTCCAAGACCTGCCTGGCCAACATGGTGAAACGTTGTCTACAAATAATACAAAAGTTAGCCAGGTGTGGTGGTGCGTGTCTGCAGTCCTAGCTCCCTGGGCAGCCGAGGCAGGAGAATCGCCTGAACCCAGGAGGCAGAGGTTGCGGTGAGCCGAGATCACGCCATTGCACTCTAGCCTGGGTAACAAGAGCGAAACTCCGTCTCAAAAAAAAAAAAAGTCACAGTAAACATTCATTTTAGAGCGTTAGAAAGACACAAAAGCTGAAACATAAAACTTACCTGAATCTCATTTTATACCATCTTTTTTTTTTTCATTGAGACAGTCTCACGCTGTCTCCCAGGCTGGAATGCAATGGCATGATCTAGGCTCACTGCAACGTCTGCCTCAAGGGTTCAAGCAATTCTCCTGCCTCAGCCTCCTGAGTAGCTGGGATTACAGGTGCATACCACCAGGCCCAGCTAATTTTTGTATATTTAGTAGAGACAGGGTTTTACCAGGTTGACTAGGCTGGTCTTGAACTCCTGACCTCAGGTGATCCACCTGCCTCAGCTTCCCAAAGTGCTGGGATTACAGGCATGAGCTACTGTGCCCAACACCTCATCATTTTTAACAATGTAGCGTATTTATTCCTAGTCCTTTATTCAAATGCCTCTTTTTAAAAGTCCTAGACCTGTAATCCCAGCACTTTGGGAGGCCAAGGCAGGCGGACCACAAGGTCAAGAGATCGAGACCATCCTGGCCAACATGGTGAAACCCCGTCTCTACTAAAAATACAAAAATTAGCTGGATTTGGTGGCATGCGCCTGTAGTCCCAGCTACTTGGGAGGCTGAGGGAGAATTGCTTGAACCCAGGAGGCAGAGATTTCAGTGAGCCGAGATTGTGCCACTGCACTCCAGCTTGGTGCCTGGCGACAGAGTGAGACTTTGTCTCAAAAAAAAAAAAAAAAAAAAAAAAAAAAAGTCCTAGACCTATAGTCATGCATTGGGTTTTAAAATGTACCCTTTACACAGAATTAGCACATGTATTTTTTTTTTTTAAGACAGGGTTTGCTCTGTTGCCCAGGCTGGAGTACAGTGGCACAATCACAGCTCACTTCAGCCTCAACCTCCCAGGCTCAAGCAATCCTCCTGCCTCAGCCTCCAAGCAGCTGGGACTACAGGCTAAACAAGCGTTTTGACAAGATACAGGAGGGTTGGCACAGCCATGTGAAGAACCCAAGTTCTAACTCAGGACAGCACAGAGACAGGGACACACGGGACAGAATATGCACAGGCTGGGAGGGCGAGCTGCCGCTGACTGGGGATGTGGTGTGTGACAAATTGAGTGCTCTACAGAGGCCAGCGAGGTACAGGAAAGGCAAGTGAGCTACGTCAAACAAAATAAACAGCTCAGATGCCCTGAGCTGAGTCCCTCGGCAAGGCAGGCTGGGAATGAGAGGAGCGCCCCTGGCCCAGCTCACAGCATCCCATCAGCCTCTCTTATTCAGCCCATAGGCTTCTTCTAAGAGCTCCCTTGGTCCTTTCTGCGGATGAAGTGGGTACGCAGGGGCCTCACCGCCAGCTGTAGTTTTCTGTCAGTGTAGTTAGGCCCAGGTTCATCCTGGTTCTGCCTCCAATCCATGGCCAACCTTCAAGCTGTGAGGTGGCAAAAGCCCCATAAACTGCATACCTCGACCACACCTCGGCTCTCTGTTGAAACTGCTCTCTGTAACGCTAATGTGACAGGCAAGCAGTCCAAATCCACGCCACCTTAGCCCCTGCGACTTGTAATGAGTAACTAAAGCCTGTAATTTCCACTCTACCCAGGCAACGTGTAACTAACGCTTATCTTGACCTCTGTGAACCACTTACGTAAAAATCCGAATGTCCAGAGTCCCCTGGCCCTCGGAATGTCCGAAGCCCCTCACCCTCACCCCTGCCCAGGAGGTGGTTTATAGCCATCAAAGGTCTCGACACCCTCCTTCTGGGGCCACGGGTTGGAGAGACACGAGTCCTCCGTGGCCGCCGGCAATAAAGACCCTGAAATTGGGCATACCTTTGTCTTGGTGTTGATTTTCTATGCTCACTCTGGTACAACAAGGTAAGTAGGTTCAACTCTCCGGGCCTCAGTTTCCCCACCTGCCAAACAAACTAGTTGGATCTTACTTCTGGGACCTCTCCTGGTTCTGAAACCATAGGCCCCTTCGTTGGTAGAGAGATGACTGGTCATGTGGCGGAAGGTCTTGGCACACCTACGTACGAGCAGTATACTCAGATTCATCCCAGGAAAGGATCCATGTCCTGGTGTGGGAGCCCTGCCACAGACCCTCAGCAAGCCAGAGCGGGAGGCAGGGGAGGCCAGCACCCTCCCAAAACACCCCCACGGCGCCCACTGCTGTCCTCCCACCACTCAGTCCCGGGGAAGAGGGCGAGCGCAGAGGCCCTCTCAGGACGCTGTGGGCGGCAGAGATCAGAGCTATGTCCCCGCGCTCCCACGCCCTCAGGTACAGGGTGCATAGAGGTACTGCTGTCTATTTCTAAGGTCACGGTGCAATTGAAAAAGTATTTCCCATTTTAAAAACCTTCCCCTAGACCTCCAGAGAAGGGGCCGCGGCCTCTCTCGGAGGCGTACCTGGGTCAGTGTGGCATCGAACAGCTTGCAGGCTTCGTTGCTTGTGGTGGAGAGCGGGAGCCTCGCATCCTTCCAGGCCTACAGACGGCAAGAAGGGAATAGCAAGGCCTTCTTCAAACTTCAACACACACAAGTCGCCTGGCCCCTCTGATCTCCATCTTCCTCATCTGCAAAATGGGCTCAGGCTTCCCGTGCTGGGCGGACCGCAGGGAGCCCCTCACCTTCGCGGGCTTCCCTGCGTCCCACACCATGCCCAGTGAGCTACGCTTTTTAGGAGCTCTTGGGGGTCTCCTGAGTACCCTGACGGGCGCCCCTTATTTCCTTTGGTGGGGATCCCACAATAAGGTCCTCGGGTCGCTTCCAGGCGTTGCCGCGGACGCGCCTGTGCGCCCAGGGATCTCCTCGGACCCCGCGCCCGGGCCAGGTCTCCTGTCATTCACCCTCGCCGCTGCCGGGATTTCTCCCCGCCCAGCACCGGGCCACGCCCTGGACCCGGGGTCCGAGCGGGACGTGGCCGGGAGCAGCCTCGCTGTACCTGGCAGTCGCGCAGAGACGCTGGCACAGCCATGGTGAGCGCGTCGCGGCCCGTGGGTAGCTCCGGACGCCTGGGCCTTCCGGGGAGGGGGCGGGGCGTCCGCGCTCTCCGGCTCCCTCACTGGTGGGTTTCGGACAGGTCCGCCCAGGCCCAGGACCCCGGCCCGCCCCGGAAGCCTGGCCAGACTACTCCGCGCCGCCGCGGCTGCTCGGGCTCCCCTGCCCCCGGGGCTGCCGGAATCCGGGCCAGGCTGGAGGGGCGCGTTAGGGCCTGCACGCGCTTTCCCCCATCGGACCGGAGCCTTGGGCGAGAGAGAGGAGGCGCGGGCCCGGGAATGCGCGCACCGCGGTCTGAGCCTCTCCCCTTGCCAGGGGCTTCTCCTTGCTGGGGAGGCGGCCTCTGTCAGGGTCCCTTGGGAGCAGGGAGCCCTGGGACAGCGGTCACTTTCAAGTTTATCTCGTCGCGGTCGGCAGCCACCCGCGCGCGCACGGCACACACTCACTTGGCGTTCGGGGCCGGCTTCACTGGGTGGTCCCGCCGCTTCCCATCCTCCCTTCTCAAGGATTTGCCGCGGAAAAATCGTTCTGTCGCCTGCAGTAGTGGCTTCTCCCTCTGGACCAGCCGGGTCCGAACTCTGCCATCAACCACACACAGCCCCAAGCCAATGGGCTCCCCTCGTTTAATCTGCCCCCGCCCCAGGATGCAAGAATCCAGGGCATACACCAAGTGCAGGGCCAGATTTGGCCTTTATTTAAATTGTTGATATTTTGTTCATCATGGACTTTTTGCATTCGTTTTGATTTTTGAAATATTGCATTGCAATATTATTTATGTCGGAGCTGAAAAGATAAAATTCTTAGAAGAAAACAAGTAAATCTTCATGACCTTGGATTTGGCAATGGGTTCTTAGAGGTGACACCAAAAGGACTGCAACCACAAAATAAACTGGACTTCATCAAAATTAAAAACTTTTCCGCATCAAACGACACTGCTCGGGAAACGGAAAAGATTAACACAATGGGAATAAATGTTTGCAAATCATACGTTGGGTAACAGTCTGGAATCCAGAATATATCAAGATTTCTTGGCCGGGTGCGGTGGCTCATGCCTGTAATCCCAGCACTTCGTTGCAGGTGTCAGGTACGATGCAGCGATTTCCCTCCCCTTCCACTCACCACTGCTGAGTGGCAGGGCCTTCCTGGGAGTACCTGACCTGTGCTCCCGGAGGCCAAGGGCTCAGAAGCTGGTGTCGGCTGGTGGCAGCGGCTCTGAGAGACAAAGAGGTGCAGGGGCTGCAGTGGTGAAGGCCACGCTCCCAGCTGGTCAGGAGGAAGGGTGGCCGTGCTTCCTCTGGCCCAGGTGTGTGGCGTTACGGGATTGGGGAAAGGGGGCAGGAAGCAGGCCTTTGCCCTACAGGGTTGTCTGGAGGGGTGGTGGGCTTGTTGCAGGTGGGCCAAAAATCTGCAAACCCTGGGCTGAAGGATGTCTGGGAAGCCCCTAAGTGAGGGACCACAGGTGAGAGACCCCCAGGGAGACCCTCGAGTGACCCTCTGACGAGGCCAACGTGCCCTCCAGAGAAGAGTCATTTCTGCAGGTGAGTGCAGACAGACGCCAGCAGCAACACAGGCTCGCCCCACCCCCTTCCTCTACCAGCTTGGGGGCCAGAGGCAGCCTGTAGAGAGGGCAAAGGCCAGGGCTGCGGAGGGGAGGAGCTAATAAGCAATGATGAATTAACCTCATTGTGTATTAGTCAGTAAGAGTTTTGACTATTACATGGGCTGGACATGTTAATTACTGAAGAAAACTTTATTTTTTATTTGTTTTTATTTTCTGAGATGGAGTCTCGCTCTGTCACCCAGGCTGGAGTGCAGTGGCACAATCTCGGCTCCCTGCAACCTCCGCCTCCCAGGTTCAAGTGATTCTGCTGCCTCAGCCTCAGAGTAGCTGCGATTATAGGCACGTGCCCACACACCCGGCTAATTTTTGTACTTTTAGTAGAGATGGGTTTTCGCCATGTTGGCCTAGCTAGTCTTAAACTCCTGCTTTCAGGAGATCCACCTGCCTCAGCCTCCCAAAGTACTGGGATTACAGGCGGGAGCCACTGCATCCAGCCGAGTAACTTTATTTTAATCAAAGGTGAACCAAGAACTTTTGGCCACGGAGTGGGAAAGAACTAGGCTCAGGCACTGCATCTGCCTGAGCAGGTGGTTGTTGAGGGAGATATAAATTCTTTTTTTTTTTTTTTTGAGGCGGAGTTTCGCTCTTGTTGCCCAGGCTGGAGTGCAACGGCGGTGATCCTGACTTACCGCAATCTCCGCCTCCCAGGTTCAAGTGATTCTCCTGCCTCAGTCACCTGAGTAGCTGGGATCACAAGCATGTTCCACCACGCCCTGCTAATTTTTTGTATTTTCAGTAGAGACAGGGTTTCTCCATGTTGTCAGGTTGGTCTCAAACTCCCGACCTTAGGTGATCCGCCTGCCTCGGACTTTCAAAATGCTGGAATTACAGGTGTGAGCCCCTGTGCCTGGCCAGCTGTAGTGAGCCGAGATGGCACCACTGCACTGCAGCCTGACCAAGACTAGTCAAAAAAAAAAAGTCTGTTTACCCAACATACTGGTTACAATCCTGAGGAAACCAGTCCCAGGGCGCTTAGCACCATTATTTGTAATGGAAAAACATAGACAGGAACCTTGACAACCACCGGTAGAATAGATAAACTCTAGCGGGCGGCCTCGGCAAAATGAATGAACAAAGCTACATGAATCAACGTGATCTTTATAATCTGTAGAAGAATATGTGCAATACAATGGCATCGTGGGAAGTCTAGTAACATGCAAAATGGTATATTGCTAATAAATTTGTCCCTATGTAATAAAACAGTAAAGAAAATGCAAGCGAATAAAAACGACCTGGGTTAATAGTTACCCCAGGAGGAGGCTGGGGATTGTCCCTTGAAGGATACACTGAGGTTTACAGCCCTATTGAAATAGTTTTATTTCTTTAGCTGGGGGATGGGCATAGGAGTGGTCTTTACTCTTTCCTGTATCTTTATGTAAATTTTAGATATTTTATAAATTAGTAAGAAATACCCTTTGCTCATCCCATTTCTCCCTGGCTACTGCCCACCAGAACTTACCCAAAGAATTGTGTGTGATCATTCCACCTCCCCATCTTCTTTCCATTTCCCTGTCAGTCCACTCCACTCAAACTTTTGTCCCCAACACGCCACGGACACTACTCTTGTCCAGGACACCAAAGACCTCCTGTTCCCAAATTCAGTGGCAATTCATCTCTCTGACCTCAGCCACCTTGGACATGGCTGGCAATGCCCTCTTTCTTGAAACCCTCTGGCCCTGGCTTCCAGGACTGCCCCCCACTTCCCTGCTCTCCTGCCCTACTGCCCTCCTCCTCCAGCTCCACCTTGGCTGGACCTTTAAGTACTAGAGGACTCCAGGGTCTGTCCACTTCTCCACGGTGCCTCCTCCCTATGTGACCTCTGACAACCCTAATCTGTCTTCAGTCCTGGCATTTATTTCCCCTACCCCTAGTCTGCTCTGGCTGCCATTACAAAATACCACAGACCGAGTGGTTCAAACAATGTATTTCTCATGCTCTGGTGGCTGGAATCCAAGATCAGGGTGACAGCACCGTCCAGTTCCTGGTTTGCGGACTGCTGCCTACTTCTGTCTTCACGTGGTCTTTGCCTGGTGTGTGCCTATGCATGGCGGTGGAGGGGGCATGTTTCTCCTCTTCCCCTCAGACTGCTGATGTGGTTTGGCTGTGTCCCATCCAAATCTCATCTTGCGTTCCCAGGTATTGTGAGAGGGACCCAGTGGGAGGTAATTGAATCATGGGGGCGGGTCTTTCCCATGCTGTTCCTGTGACCATGAATAAGCCTCATGAGATCTGATGCTTTTAAAAAGGGGAGTTTCCCTGCACAAGCTCTTTTCCCTTGTCTGCTGCCATGTGAGACGCGCCTTTCACTTTCTGCCATGACTGTGAGGCCTTCTCACCCACGTGGAACTATAAGTCCAATAAACCTCTTTCTTTTGTGAATTGCCCAGTCTCAGGTGTGTCTTTGTCGGCATCGTGAAAATGGACTAATATACCCACCATGAGTGCCCCACCCTCATGACCTAATTAACTCTCATTATTATACCTCCCAAAGGGTCCACCTCCAAATACCATCACGTTGGCAACTAGGGCTTGAGTATATTAATTCGGGGACACGTTCACTCCATGGAGCCCCTAAATACGAGACTTGGATCAGAATGACCAACAGGAAACAGCTGGCATGTGACCATGTTTGACCTATCAAGGCAGCAATTTCCTGAGATCCCCCCAATAAAGACCGCTTCCTGGCCACTGACAGGCACGCGGAGCTGTCCTCGTTTGCTCTTTTTCACATCTGACGTGCAGTACTGGGTTCATGGGTGTGCACACATAAAAGGGCCCGTGCTTGCTTAATGCTCTGCTGTAGCTGTGCTAAAATTCCGAGGAATATTTGAATGAGGAACCATGCTTTTCATTGGCAGAGGGCCCCCAAAATGACATAGCTGGTCCTTCTGACATCTAATCCATTAACCAGTGCTGTCTCTTCCACACACAAAGCCAAACGGAGCCAAGATCAGCTCATGCACGCACCAGCTGACCCTCCAACACCCAGGCCTGTCCCTTCCACTGCACCGGGCCCTCCAACACCCAGGCCTGTCCCTTCCACTGCACCGGGCCCTCCAACACCCAGGCCTGTCCGTTCCACTGCACCGGGCCCTCCAACACCCAGGCCTGTCCCTTCCACTGCACCGGGCCCTCCAACACCCAGGCCTGTCCCTTCCACTGCACCGGGCCCTCCAACACCCAGGCCTGTCCCTTCCACTGCACTGGGCCCGCCTCACTGGCCTACCTGCTTCCACTCTTGCTTACCGTCAACCTGTTTCCCAACAGTAGGATGATGCTTGCAAGATGGAAATCAGGTCAGGCCCCTTTGCTGCTCAAAACCCTCCAAAGGCTTCCCAGCCCACATGAGAGAAAATCCAACAGTGTTAGTTACTGTGCCCTACAAGACCCTGCCTGCTCTGTCTTGGGCCATCTGTCCAATTACATTTTCCCCCACTCACCATCTTCCCACTTACCCAACACATTATTAACCTCTCTCCTGCCTGTCTCAATGCTTTTGCACATACAGTCCCCCTCCCAGGAAGGCTATTCCTTATCCCTCATTACAGCTAGCTCCCTTACTTCATGCAGATCTGTGGGCTCAGATGGCACCTCCCCAAAGGCCGTTCCTGACTCTCATAGCTCATTCCTATTCCTTATTTCTTACCTGCCTTACTTTTCTTCATACCGCTTTTCACAGCTGAAATCACACACATTATATCTTGGCTTGATTATTTCTGATCACTCCCACTGTAATAGAAGCTCTGTAAGAACTGGGACCAGAGCTAATGCCTAGAAAAATACATAGCATGTAGTAGGAGCTGAAGAAATGGATGCAATAGGCTGGGCATGGCGGCTCCTACCTGTAATCCAGCACTTTGGGTGGCTAAGGGGGGAGAATTACTTGAAGCCAAGAGTTCAAGAACAGCCTGGACAACATAGGGAGACCCTATCTCTACCAAAAAAGAAAAGTTAGCTGGGAGGGGTGCTGTGTACCTGTAGTCCCAGATACTCAAGAGGCTGAGGCAGGAGAATCACGTGAGCTCAGGAACTGGCAGCCACAGTGAGCTGCAATGGTGCCACGGCACTCCAGCCCGGGTGGCAGAGGAAAACCCTGTCTCAAAAAAAAAAAAAAAAAACGGGGGGGGGACAGTAAGAATACAAATAATAAAGTGGTAGACCTAAATCCAGCCATATCAATAATCATGTTAAATGGTGATGGTACAAATATTTCCATTAAAAGGCAGAGATTGGCTAGATTAAAAAAACCTCCATTACATGTTGCCTACAAAAGACCACTTTAAATATAAAGACGCAAATAAGTTGAAAGTAAATGAATGGGAAAAAATGCCATATAAGCGGTAAGCAGAAGAGGGCTAGTGTGGCTATTTTAATATCAGGTAAATTAGACTCTGAAACAAACGGTACTACCAGTGATCAAGAGCGAGGTTTCATGGCCAGGCGTGGCGGCTCACACCTGTAATCCCAGCACTTTGGGAGGCCAAAGTGGGCGGATCACTTGAGCTCAGGAATTTGAGACCAGTGTTGGTAACACGGCAAAACCTCCTCTCTACAAAAAATACAAAACGAGGCCAGGAGTGGTGGCACATGCCTGTAGTCCCAGCTACTCGGGAAGCTGAGGTGGGAGGATCACCTGAGCCCAGGGAGATCCAGGCTGCAGTGAGCTCCGATCACACCATTGCATTTCAGCCTGGTCGGTGTAGTGAGACTCTGTCTCAAAGAAAAAAAAAAAAAGAGAGAAAGAGGCATTTCATAATGATAACATGAGCAACTCATCAAGACAACCACAAATGTGTGTATATTTAATAAACAGAAGGCCAGATGAGACGGCTCACCCCTACAAACCCAGTACTTTGGGAGGTGGAGTGGGGATGATATGGTTTGGCTTGTCCCCACCCAGATCTCATCTTGAACTGTGGGAATGAATGTGTTGTGGGAGGGATCCAGCGGGAGATCATTGAATCATGGGGGTAGTTTCCCCGTACTGTTCTTGTGGTAGTGAACGCGTCTCAGAAGATCTGACGGTTTTATCAGGGTTTCCGCTTTTGTGTATTCCTCATTTTCTCTTGCCACTGCCGTGTAAGAAGTGCCTTTCACCTCCCGCCATGATTCTGACGCCTCCCCAGCCACGTGGAACTGTAAGTCCAACTAAACCTCTTCTTCCCAGTCTTGGGTACGTCTTTATCAGCAGCATGAAAATGGACTAACACAGGGGAGAATCAGTTAAGACCCCAAGTTTGAGACCAGCCTGTGAAACACAGCAAGACCCCCCATCTCTACAAAAGTAAAAACATGAGTCGGTGTAGTCAGGTAGACCTGTTATCTGGGGGGCTGAGGCAGGAGGATTCCTTGAGTCCAGTTCAAGGTTACAGTGAGCTATGATTGCACCACTGCACTCCAGCCTGAGCAACAGAGCAAAACCTGTCTCTAAAATCAATCAAGTCCCAAAATATACAGCAAAAATAGAATTAAAGAATGAGGCCAGTCACAGTGGCTCAGGCCTGTAGACCCAGCACTTTGGGAGATCGAGGTGGGTGGATCACGTGAGGTCGCACCACTGCACTCCAGCCTGGGTGACAGAGACTCCATCTCAAAACAAAAACCAAAAACCAACTAGAAAGAAAAGAGCAAACCGAACCCAAAGTAAGAAACGCAAAGTCAGATCTTCCTGGGCGCCCAGGGATCTCACAGTTCCCTCCTGAGCTCCCAGCTGTGACTGGCTCTCCCAAAGGTTCCTGCTGAAGCCCCTTCTCCGTGGTCTGCACAGGGCTGAACTACCCCCCGCACTACCCCCCACAGCCATCCGGACCCTGGGAACGGAGAGGGGACGGGTGCCAAGAAGCCCCCCAGTGCCGACTGACCCCCAGCTCCCAGGTCCCAGCTACTCTCTGGGACGTTCTGCCTCTGAGACCCCTCCGCCCGTGGCCTTCGATGCCCGAGACTCCCACCGTACCCGCGACCCCCGAGGCGGTTGGACGCGCCTCGCGCCCTCCGCGGTGCCTGCCAACTTCTCCCTGACGGGCGCCATGCGGCCTGGGCCTGCGCTCCTCCTCCTCCTCCTCCTGGGCCTGGGCCTGGGCCTGGGCCTGGGCCTGCGCCGCCTCCTGCCGCCGCCGCCGGCTCCTCGCGGGGCCCCGGCCGCCGTTCCCGGGGCGCCCGGCGGCCTCCTGAGGGGTGTCCCCGGCCTCGGAGTGCGCGTAGGTCGCGCCCGCCTCCGTCTGCGGCTCCGCGCGGTGCGGGCGGGCGGCGTGGTCCTGAGCGGCGGCGGCGGTCTCTGCTTCCCCCGCGGCGGGGCCCGACGGCGCTGGTACTGCCTCGACCTGCGCGTCCTGCTCAGCGCCCAGCGCCCGCCCCGGCCCGCAGCGCCCACGCCCGTCGACCTGCAGCTCTCCGCGCGCCGCGGCCGCCTCTCCCTAACGTGGTCCGCGCCGCTGCCGCGCCCGCCCGGGTGCCCGGCCTGGACCTTCCTCCTGCGGCTGCTGGGACCCGGCCCCGCCCCCCGGGCCGCCCCCGCCACCCGCGTCTCCCCGCGCTCTGCGGCGCCCGGCCCACGGGCCCAGCCGGGCTTCGTGGCCCGCACCGAGTGCCCCACAGACGGCCCCGCGCGCGTGGTGTGGCAGGCCGTCAACTCGTCCCGCCACAGAGCCGTCGAGTCGTCCGTGTCCTGCCAGATAGACGCCTGCGTCATCCAGAGCGTGAGGATCAACACGGACCGGAGGGGCGCCCCGGTGCGCCTGAGCAGGACGGCGGAGACCACCCTCAACGCCTCGGTCCAGCTAGATTGCCCGGGCGCTCTCGCCATCTCCCAGTACTGGCAGGTGTTCTCCGTGCCCGCCGTGGGCCACGTGCCCGACTGGACGCAGCCCTTGGACTTGCCCCAGCTGGAAATCAGGAGGAGCCCCTTGTTTATTCACATTCCCAGCCATTCATTATACTGGGGGGTGTATGTGTTTAATTTCACGGTGTCCATCGTCACAGGGAACCCCAAGATGTCCAAGGTGAAAGACTCAGACGCCGTCTATGTCTGGATCACCAGGAGTCCCCTGCAGGCAGTGATGCGTGGGGAGGCCCACATTACAGCTAATTTCCCAGAGCGGCTGATTCTGGATGGGTCCACGTCCTCAGACCCAGATGCAGACAGCCCGTTACAGGGACTCCAGTTCTTGTGGTACTGTACCACAGATCCCAGAAACTACCGTGGGGATCAAATAATCCTGGGGAGTAAGGACGTCTGTCACCCCGAGCAGGCCAATCTGAAGTGGCCCTGGGCCTCTGGCCCTGTACTGACACTTCCACCAGAAACACTGAAAGGCGACCAGGTGTATTTCTTCAGAATGGTGATTCGGAAGGATTCGAGGACAGCGTTTTCTGATAAAAGGGTCCACGTGCTCCAAGGCCCAGAGGCCATAGCACACCTCACATGTATGGAAAACTGTGAGAGGACGTTAGCTGTCTCCGACAGGTTTGCTTTGTTCCTGAACTGCACGAACTGTGCGAGCCGTGATGTCTACAGATGGTCACTTTTGTCTTCTTCAGGTGGTGAGATGCTATTTGACTGGAGGGGGGAAACTGTAACAGGAAGGCATGGTGCTTATCTGTCCGTAAAAGCTTTTGCTTTTCGGTATTTTTTGGAAGCTGAGTTTTGGATTTCTCTCCATCTGGCAAGTTGGACTGGAACGACCTCGGTCTTCAGGCATTCTTTTATTATTAACCACGGCCCTCAAATCGGAGAATGCAAAATTAATCCAGCTAAAGGAATCGCACTTATGACTAAATTTGTTGTCCAGTGTAGTAATTTTAGGGATAAGCACATGCCTCTTACATATAAAATAATTGTTTCTGATGTGCACGGTGCTGGTGAAATCAGTTCAGTAAAAGAGAACACCCTGGGGACCATCTTGTACTTGGGGCCTCAGTCCACAGCACCCCCTTCCTTTCTCCCTGTTGGTATGTTGGCCAATCAATATGCCTTGAAGATATATGCCCAGGTCTACGACGCTCTAGGAGCTTTTTCTCAGGTGACTTTGTATGCTACTGTACAAGCTCCCACCAACAAAAATTCATCAAAAACTGTGTTGAATCAGTTACTCAGTTTCACCATGGGACCGAGTTCCTTGCTGTCTACTTTGATTCAAAAGCAGGATTTTTTACCCGCAGGTTACTTAATGTACGTAGTCGCTTCCGTTTTGAATAACATGAGAACGGAATTCTCGCTTCAAGATGACAGAGTCAGTCTCCGAGAACACCTCGTTGAACAGTCTTTCCTTCTTCCTGCGAGCACTTTGGTGGAAATTGGCCAGGTGGTCATGGCTGTCACCAAATTAACCCAGAAACCCTCTGAATTCACTTGGGATGCTCAGAAACGTGTCACCATGAGGACATGGCAGGCAAATCATGCCTTGCAAGAGTATCAACAAAAAGATCAACACTTTCGATCTGAACAAATAGAAATTGTGAGCACTGGAATATTAATGACTATGTCCAATATTCTTAATCTGACTTCTTCTAACCAAGCGATGAAAGATCCTTTCTGTGTATTAGAATCTCTGTCAGACACAATACTGGCTAATAAGGTGCCAGGCAACGAAACCACCTCAATGAGAACCCCCAATTTCAACATGTATGTCAAGAAAGTTGAAAAATGGGATGTTACCCAGGTCTTCAGAGATGAGAAGCACTGCAGAAATTGTTTTTACCCAACACTCAATGCAAGCAGTGTTCCCGGTCTTTCTGCAAATGCTCCCATTTCCACCATGTTTTGTGATTTCACAAATGATCCCTTTCCTTGGTTAAATGATCAGGAAAACACTTCGTTCGTGATATCTGGATTCAGAATGACAGGAGTTGCAGATAACGGCAGCGTGCTAGAGATCACACCTGATGTAGCGGAAGTGTTCCTTGTCAGGAAAAACGTGGCCTTTGCAGCTTTTGATCTCACAGTGGGGCCCGACAGAGAGGTTGATGGGTCCTCGAAGACGACAGGTGGGTTTAGCTTTCAAGTGGACAGCAGAGTGCCTAGGGAGGTGCTGGTCCACATCGTGACAGAAGTGACGGTGCCGTTCACGGTGTTGGTGTACACAGGCAGTCAGGTCACTCCCACAGCGCTGGTCGCCACCTTCCTCGTGCCTCACGACATCCCTCCGGTTGCCAGCCAAAGTGCCCTGTTTGACCCGGCCTGCAAAGTGAAGAAGGCTCGCGTGGTGTGCCTCCCCCTGTCCCTGCTGCAACTCATAGCCCAGCACAGCCATTCGCCCTTCTGTGCTGTATCCATAGTACTGCAGGCACCTCGTTTTGTCATGAAGCCCAGTGACAAGCTCGTGAGAATTTCTCTCTTCAGCGTCCAGTGTCTCGACATGTATGGGATCCAGAGTGAGTGGAGAGAGGGTTACTGCATTCTTGGTGAGAAGACCAGCTGGCATGAGGTGCACTGTGTCTGCAAGAACTTAGTGAGGGCCAGGCGGCAGCTGGGCACACTTGGACTCGCCAGCATTCACCTGCATACCCACTATGTGATGGCCAAGGTGCTTGTGATCCCTAATCCTGTGGATCTACGGTTAAACATCATTGAGACCCTTTACCAAAACCCGGTGACCCTCCTCACTGTGCTTTTCGTTATTCTCCTATACATGATCCTAGCTTTCTGGACCTTGTACAGGGATGAAATGGACCAGTTTCTTCGCGGGCATGTGATAGTTCTACCCGATAATGATCCTTATGATAATTTATGCTACTTGGTGACTGTTTTTACAGGAAGTCGTGGGGGTTCTGGGACCAGGGCCAATGTCTTTGTGCAGCTCAGAGGCACGGTGAGTACCAGTGATGTGCATTGTTTAAGCCATCCCCATTTTACAGCTCTCCACAGAGGCAGCATTAGCACTTTCCTCCTAACGACAAAAGGTGACTTGGGGGACATCCACTCCATCCGTGTGTGGCACAACAACGAGGGCCATTCGCCTAGCTGGTATTTAAGTAGAATCAAAGTGGAAAATCTGTTTAGTAGGCATGTTTGGCTGTTCATATGCCAGAAATGGCTTTCTATTGATACCACTTTGGACAGAACATTTCAAGTTACCCATCCAGACGAGCCTCTGACCAGAAAAGACTTTTTCTTTATAGATGTGAGCAGTAAGCTCCAGAAAAACCACATGTGGTTCTCTGTTTTTGCTGGTGGTGTTGCTAAAACATTCAGCAGGCTCCAGAGACTGTCCTGTTGCTTAGCAACGTTGCTAAGCTCTCTTCTTTGCAATATTATGTTCTTTAATCTAAACAAACAACAGACTGAGTCAAGAGAAAGGAAGTACATCAGATCGATGATGATAGGAATCGAAAGTGTCTTCATTACAATCCCTGTGCAGTTATTAATAACTTTTTTGTTCACCTGTTCCCAGAGGAAACCTCACGCAGATCTAAAGGAGGCATCTCCTCAAAAGCTTCCTCTAATGGCAGAAGGAAGTGGACACTGGGAAGAGTCCTTGAGAACGTGGCATGCTAATGAAACTGCTAAGGAGCTTCCTAGGGAGGCTGCAAAAGGAACCCCCGAACCCAGGCTCCTTAAGGCTGCTCCTAAAGCCACCCCCGAACCCAAGCACAGGCATAGGAAAGCACAAATCAAGACCCCAGAGACCCACAGGCCAAATACAAATTCCAATAACAACGAAGATGATCCGAATGTCCCTTCCGAAGAGCACTCTTCCCAACAGGAGCTCCGGCAGCTTAAGAAAAAGGCCCAGATCGTCCTGCCTTGGTGGTGTGTTTATGTTGCATGGTTTTTGGCTTTTGCTACTTCCAGCATATCCTCATTCTTCATTGTATTTTATGGACTGACTTATGGCTATGACAAGTCGATGGAATGGCTCTTTGCATCTTTTTGTTCATTCTGTCAGTCAGTGTTTCTGGTGCAGCCATGTAAGATTATACTCTTGTCAGGCTTCAGAACAAATAAACCCAAGTATTGCAAAAACCTTTCGTGGTCAACCATGTATCAATATACTGAGATCAGGCTGGGTGGAATGAGTAAGCATCCAGACGAAAGGCAGAGGATACATGACCAGATTGTCCGAATCCGAGGCACGAACATGTACCGACCTCTCACAGAAGATGAAATCAGAATATTCAAAAGAAAGAAGAGGATCAGCAGAAGAGCACTCCTGCTCCTGAGTTCCATTCTAACTCATTTTACCTTTCTGGCCCTTCTGTTGGTCCTTGTCATGCTGCTATATCACACTGACACCTTCTACTACAACCAGTTTATCCGTGATCGGTTCTCTGTGGATCTTGCTACTGTGACTAACCTGGAAGACATCTACAGATGGCTGCACAGCGTGCTGTTGCCTTTGTTACACAATGACCTGAATCCAACATTTCTTCCTGAAAGCTCATCTAAAATCCTTGGCCTTCCATTGATGAGGCAAGTGAGAGCAAAATCTAGTGGGAAAATGTGTCTACCTGCCGAAAAGTTTGTGCAAAGCAGTATCAGAAGAGAAATTCATTGTCATCCCACATATGGCATTGACCCAGAAGACACAAAAAACTATTCTGGCTTTTGGAATGGAGTTGATCAGCAGGCTGTAGACGAGAGTATCAGTGGATTTACCTATAAGCCTCAAGGAAAGCAATGGCTGTATTATTCCTATGGACTACTACACACTTACGGATCTGGAGGCTATGCATTCTACTTTTTTCCAGAACAGCAGCAGTTTAATTCCACACTGAGGCTCAGAGGACTTCAGGAAAGCAATTGGCTTGATGAGAAGACATGGGCTGTGCTTTTGGAATTAACGACTTTTAATCCCGACGTAAATCTGCTCTGCAGCATTTCAGTCATGTTCGAGGTCTCTCAGTTAGGAGTTGTCAACACAAGCGTCTCTCTACACTCTTTTTCTCTTGCTGATTTCGACAGGAACACTTCAGCAGAAATCTACTTATACGTGGCCATTCTCATTCTTTTCTTAGCCTACATTGTCGATGAGGGTTATATCATTATTCAAGAAAGAGCCTCCTACGTGAGAAGTGTGTATAATTTGCTCAACTTGGCTTTAAAGTGCCTGTTCACTGTGTTGATTGTGCTCTTCTCCAGGAAACATTTCCTGGCCACGGGCATAATCCAGTTTTACTCGTCGAACCCTGAAGACTTCATTCCTTTTCATGCGGTTTCTCACGTAGATCACGTCATGAGGATAATTTTGGGTTTCCTGTTATTTCTGACGATTTTGAAGACCCTCAGGTATTCCAGATTCTTCTATGATGTGCGCCTGGCTCAGAGGGCCATCCAGGCTGCCCTCCCTGGCATCTGCCACATGGCATTTGCTGTGTCCGTGTATTTCTTCGCATACACGGCTTTCGGTTACCTGGTGTTCGGTCAGCATGAATGGAATTACAGTAACTTGATTCATTCCACTCAGACAGTATTTTCCTATTGTGTCTCAGCTTTCCAGAACACTGACTTTTCCAATAACAGGATTCTGGGGGTCCTGTTCCTCTGGTCTTTCGTGCTGGTGATGATCTGCATCTTGATCAACTTATTTCAGGCTGTAATTCTGTCTGCCTATGAGGAAATGAAGCAGCCCGTGTATGAGGAGCCCTCGGAGGAAGTGGAAGCCATGACATATTTATGTCGTAAACTGAGAACCATATTCAGCTTTCTGACCTCCCGATCTAAGGCCAAAGACGAGCCTGAGTTCTTTACTGACATGATGTATGGGCAGCCAGAGAAGAACAGCCGCCGTTTTCTGGGGTTGAAGACCAGAAATATCAATGGGAAGAAAATGGTTTACCTTGTTGTTTGAATTATGGTTTCAAGAGTCTCAAGTGAGCGTTTCCCCAAATGCTGAGTCTATGGGATGAAGGGGATTAGGAAGTGTCAGTGGCTTCATCAGGCTTTCTACTCATGTCCTTCACCTGGCACATCCCCTACACTTGGAATTACCTTCAGTCTTGGCCTCTGCTCTTGGGAGTGTGAGTTGTGGAGTGTAGCACCTGAGGAGCGAGGAGGGTCACAGCGTGAGGTTCCTGGACTGATTTCCCTTTAGAGGGGAGTTATGTGACTCGGGGTACAAGGGCAGCCCTGTTTCTTTGGTGTTAGCAGCAGTTTAGGTTTTGAGAAGCAGATTTGAGAGAGGGACCTGGCCAGGGTGGTGCATTGTCGGGTGTTTCTGGGCTTGACCCACGCTGGAAGCCGATGGCCTGTTGCTCCAGCACCGAGCCCCAAACTCCTTGGCCTCGCTGGGAGGCCCCCTTGCAGACCAGGACTGCAGTCTCCCCTCTTCTTTGTTCCCCTGGGTTTAGGGCCTAGTGGGGAGTTCCAGGACTTACTTCCTGGAAGTGCTTGGGAACGCAGGAGTGGCGCTTCTCATTTATTCTTAAAGCTACTGCAAGTTAAAGTAAAATTCAGTAACTTTTTCTGACCAAGAGACATGTCTTGTTAAGCACCAAAATGGTGCATATGGGTTCACAGTAACATATAGTAAGTGTTCTATATGCTGAATAGAGCAACACAAGCATCTAGGATTTGGGCATTTGATTATTTATGGCGTGCTGGACCATTTAGGGATAAGGAAAATGTGGCTTGTCACGTAACAGAAACAAGAGCCGGCAGCTGTACTATTTTCATTCAGAAGTATGTGCATTTATGTAGATGCCACCTTAAGCTTTCTCAGAATTAAATGTGAGATCTCTTCTGTGAGCCTTGCAGTGATTTCCGTGTGAGGGGCACATACACGCATAGCTCCTGCCCGCCAAGTGGAGGGCCGGAAAAGGGGGACAATCAAATGAGATGGGTGGGTGCACCCACTTTGCTGTACCTGTCATCCTCAGCTGCGCTGAAATGAACATAGCACACTAGGCCCCCGCAGGTACCAATAGACACCTTCCATCCTTTCCTTCATGGAAATGCCTAGCCCTGGGCAGAATGTAGTTCTGTCTTACCTGTTGCCAGGTGAGAAGATGAAGAGATCTCATGATTCACTCAAGTCCTCACACAGTCAGCAAGGGTCAGAAGGTCAGATGGGGGCTAGACGTTGTGGCTCACACCTGCAATTCCAGCACTTTGGGAGGCCAAGGTGGGCAGATTGCTTGAAGTCAGGAGTTCGAGACCAGCCAGGCCAACATGGTGAAATCCTGTCTATACTAAAAATACAAATATTAGCTGGACACGGTGGCGGGCACCTGTAGTTCCAGGTACTCAGGAGCCTGAGGCAGGAGAATCACTTGAACCCAGGAGGCAGAGGTTGCAGTGAGCTGAGATTACACCACTGCATCCCAGACTGGGCAACAGAGCAAGACTCTATCTCAAAAAAAAAGGTCAGATGGATTTTCTTTTTTCCCCTTTTTTTGAGATAAAGTTTCGCTCTTGTTGCCCAAGTTGGAGTGCAATGGCGTGATCTTGGCTCCCTGCAACCTCCACCTCCCAGGTTCAAGCAACTCTCCTGCCTAAGCCTCTCGAGTAGCTGGGATTACAGGTGCCCGCCACCACACCCAGCTAATTTTTTTGTATTTTTAGTACAAATGGGGTTTCACCATGTTAGCCAAGCTGGTCTCAAACTCCTGTCCTCAGGTCATCTGCCTGCCTCAGCCTCCCAAAGTGCTGGGATTACAGGCATGAGCCACCGTGCCCTGCCCAGGTGGGGACTTTCTAACTCCCCTGGTGGGAAGGTCATGGGGGTGGCCTGGCCCACTGGTTCTGACTGGGGCACATGTTCTTGAGATAGTGCCTCTCTTAACCACCTGACTTCAGAATGGATTGAGAAAAAGAGTCAGCAGGGGTCTAAATAATTACTTTTTACTGATAGAGGCTGGCTGCAGTCAGGACAAATGCACCTGCCCACTGAACTGCAGAATAAGGGACCTCAATCACCAGGTGCAGGCTAGCTGCAGAGACCTGCTCTTCAAGGCAGCAAAGACTGCTGGCAGGAGGGTGAGGCAGAGACACAGGCTATCTGTAGGTTGGCATCCCCAGGCCTTCTCCCCTAGTTTAGTAATACGCTGAAGTCCCTGCCCCTTCCAAGGGGCTGACGGGGGTCGGGGTAGGCTAGTTGGCCTCCCTTCCTAGGAAGAAAGCACCAGGGGTGGAGGAGAAGGGTTTCCCACCAACACAGCTCGAGCTGTGCAGTGGGAAAGTGAGTTACGAATGAGTCAGGGAGGGCCACAGTTGTAACCACAGGTGCCACACGGGCAGTCCCGGGGGCCCAGGAACGAGCACTGGAGGTGGTTTGAGTGATGACCAGGGACAGCTGCTGTGGGGCCTGTCAAATACGATAAGGATCTCAATTTCTTGCCGAAAGTGAAAAGTCCAGCAGTCTCGGGACTTTTTTCCAGGCATGCTGGGAAAGAGGAGAGAACAAGGGTTTTCCCTCTAACCTGATAGAGCAATGACAGGTAATTACACAGTTTAGAAACAAGAAGATGCCAGTTACATTATCAGGAGGACAAGGTATCACGTAACAAACCAAAATTCAGGTTTCTTCTGAAGAACGTTTTCACAGGACATAGCAACAATTTCTTTTTTGGGGGCGCAGGGACAGCTTCTTTTTGAGACGGAATCTTGCTGTCACTGAGGTTGGAGTGCAGTGGTGAGATCTTGGCTCACTGCAACCTCTGCCTCCCGGATTCAAGCAATCCTCATGCCTTAGCCTCCCAAGTAGCTGGGATTACAAGTGTGCACCACCATGCCCAGTTAATTTTTGTATTTTCAGTAGAGATGAGGTTTCACCATGTTGGCCAGGCTGGTCTTGAACTCCTGACTTCAAGTGATCTGCCTACCTTGGCCTCCCAAACTGCTGGGATTATAGGCGTGAGCCACTGTGCCCTGCAGGACATAGCAACAATTTCTAAAGGAGTCTTTTTTATTTTTTGAGATGGAGTCTTGCTCTGTTGCCCAGGCTGGAGGATCTCAGCTCACTGCAACCTCCGTCCCCCGGTTCAAGCAATTCTGGTACCTCAGCCTCCCGAGTAGCTGGGACTACAGGCATGCCCCCACAAACACCTGGCTAATTTTTTTTTTTTTTTAGTAGAGAGAGGGTTTCACCATAGTTGGCCAGGCTGGTCTTAAACATCTGGGCTTAAGTGCTGGGATTATAGGTGTGAGCCACCATGCCCAGCCTAAAGGAGTCTAAGATTCTTGTTCTCATTATGCTTCCAGGGATAGGGTAGGCCTATTCCAGAATGATTGGCTGTAGTCATGAACACCCTCCCAGTTGTCTCTGTAGCACGGAACAAGATGGATATTCCTGGTGTTGTTCTCAGTTTAGCCCCTTATTAATTCAGAGTAGTTGAACAAGTTTTACATGCAAAGAAAGGTCTGTCGCTGTAGCTACAGAGAAGGGGATATATGCCCTTCATCTATCTAAACTCTTTTGTTAATTACGAAGACTTTGCATTTTTAAGGGCTGCTTCTGGAATTTCGTTAGTTAGCATTAAAAACAAAATGCAAGGCTTTAGACTTCTGTTACTGGCAGAAACGGAGAAGGGGACAAACAGGATGATATTCAGTGAAGTGGGGTGCATAAGGAGTTATTCTTCCACAGTACCCCCTTTTGCTGCTATTGGCAATATTTTAGCTCTAGATGTTCATCTGCATTCAATCCTTCTGATTTTCAGCTTTTCTTTCAGTCTTCACCTAAATACACAATGTACAATATTTGATATTGTGATAATCTTTTAAGATCACATCTATACAACATTTTATAAGTAATGTCACAACATATAGGCAATTATTTTTCCCAGCGAGCCCACCCCTAGCACCTGTGGGGCCTAGGGCAGGACTACAAATAGCTACATATCTAACTAGTTAAAAGCTTACAAACTGTTACATAAAATACTTATATCCATCTACCTGGACAAATACACCTTCATAAACCAATTCAAAATTATTTATAAAACTATGATTTTAATATAGCTGAAAACTGGCAAAATATTAAAGATAACTCAGTTTAATTTTTTATTGTGTACCTCTGGGTATTCTGTCGACGGGCCGCTAATGCTCGGATGGGTAATGAAGACATATATAATCCATAAATTACGTTATTTCTTCCATGAATGTTTGTCTTGTCTTCATTTCAGAAGAATGACTAACATAGATTTTCACACAATGGCAGTCTATTGACAACAGCGCCACATTAGACAAGCTTTCCTGGTCAGTGTACCTTCGGATCGTTTTGGTTATTTCAACTGGCAGAACTTGATGCTGCTGAGTGGTAACCAATTATGAATAAGATTCTTAAAGCTTTATATTCAGAACTAAACTATGACTATTGATATGTTTAAACTCTGTAGGAGGGGCACATATGCAAAATTATCATGATTGCAGAAAATATTACACAATATATTTTCATTATATAACGTTATTATTTCACCATTATCATTGTTTCTTACATTTAAATCCATATAAGATTTATTCTTTTTCGGGCCAGGCGAGGTGGCTCAAGCCTGTAATCCCAGCACTTTGGGAGGCCGAGGCAGGTGGATCACGAGGTCAAGAGATCGAGACCATGCTTGTCAACATGGTGAAACCCCGTCTCTACTAAAAATACAATAAATTAGCTGGGCACGGTGGTGTGCGCCTGTAATCCCATCTACTCAGGAGGCTGAGGCAGGAGAATTGCTTGAACCCAGGAGGCGGAGGTTGCAGTGAGCTAAGATTGCGCAATTGCACTCCAGCCTGGGTAACAAGAGTGAAACTCCGTCTCAAAAAAAAAAAAAAAAGATTTCTTCTTTTCCGTTTACATTGCTAGGGTATTATTACAAAGACAACTGAAAACTGCGGTAGGTAGGTTACTCACTGAATCTCCCTCTTCAGTAGCATCTATACCTTGATCTACCATAGCAAAAAAACAGTCACTAGAGAAGTCAGTTTCAGAATCATTCCTACATAAATGTTTTCTTCAGACTCCAGCAAATGCTTCTAGTTCCCGTTTGCTTATATTTTACTTGAATGTTATCTTAAGTGTTTATTTCATATGCAGTTACTTTTGGGAAACCATTTTCTCCTAAAACTTTATGCAATATTTTAAAACCTTGGATTTTTTTTTTTTTTTGAGATAGAGTCTCGCATTGTTGCCCAGGCTGGAGTGCAATGGCTCGATTTCTGCTCACTGCAACGTCTATCTCCCGGGTTCACACAATTCTCCTGCCTCAGCCTCCGGAGTAGCTGGAACTACAGACACATACAACCACATTTCGCTAACTTTTTGTATTTTTAGTAGAGACGGATTTCACTATGTTGGCTAGACTGGTCTTGAACTTGTGATCTGCCTGCCTCGCCTCAGTCTCCTAAGTGCTGGGACTACAGGGATGAGCCACTGCATCCGGCCAAATCCTTTGGGATTCTTTTTTTTTTTTTTGAGATGGAGTTTTGCTCGTTACCCAGGCTGGAGTGCAATGGCATGATTTCGGCTCACCGCAACCTCCGCCTCCTGGGTTCAGGCAATTCTCCTGCCTCAGCCTCCCGAGTAGCTGGGATTACAGGCATGTGCCACCGTGCCCAGCTAATTTTTGTATTTTTAGTAGAGACAGGGTTTCACCTTTTGGATTCTTTAAAAGCTTTTTCTAATAGTAATAACTGGACAGCTCAAATACAAAATTAACTCCACTTTCTGCCAAAGACCAGAATTTTCTCTTTGAATGTTACCTATTATTTCACTTAACTCTTGTAATCTGTTAATATGTCTAAAATAAGTCAAATAGCTTTAACAGCACTCATGGGATTACCATCGTTGTATCTGAGAGTAATCACGGGCCAAATTCAAAATGCTTCAAGACGTTCCATCTTAGACACCTCCAGAAACAAAAACAACTCAGTGTGTCATCTTTGAAGTGATCCAACAAATCAAATGCCGTTGCTCTAAGCACCGTGGAGGTCATGTCTACTAGCAATGAAACCCAACTGTTTGCTAATTCTTGGGCCCCTCTTGCCCAGGTCGAAGAGTGGTTTTGGTTTCCACTACCGCTAAAATGCCATCCTTACGTCTCAGTTCGCCCGAGGAGTAAGTCCCAGACCTCAGCCTGCTGCAACTTGGCAACATTCCTTCAAATGTGGCTTGACGAACCAAGAATAAATCCTGGTGTCTCAGGAACGGAGACGAAGTACCTCTCGGCCTAGGGAAGGGTCACAGAGGGCCCTGTAACGCAGCAGCATGTGAAAAGCTGCGGGCTGGTGGCGCAGGCAGGTGGCACAAGCAGGCCTTCTCCTGCATGGAGCAAAACCCGCAAACCTTTGGGAAAAGGAGGGCGGCCACCTTGTCGTCCCCGAAGTACAGGTGAAGGCCCGGTGGGGCTGGGGCGAAGAACTCCAGCTGGGCATGATTGGAGCCCACAGGCAAAGCCAGGCTGGCTTCAGAGTCCGCGCCTCTGACCCCACGGAAAGGTGCCTCTCACATACTGGAGGCTCCAGGACTGGGGCTGGCATTTCGGGTCTAGGCCACCGGGTGTCAGAGGCCCCGGGCGGGAACCGAGGGAAGCAGTTGTGGCTGGTGCCTGGGGGCGAGGGGCAGCGGAGAGGCCCGGGAGGCGAAAGGGGAACGCAGCGCAGACCCGAGGGGCGCCACAGGCCAGGTGGGCCTTGGAGGAGCAAGGACAGGTCCTGAGACCCCGCTGGGCAGACACATCGCTTCCTGTGTGAGGGGTCGGACGTTCCAGTGGGGAGGCGCGGGCGAGCGGGTGGGAGACTTCGGGTGGGAAACTGGAGGCGCCCTCGCCCCTGACGAGCCTAGTGGAACACTCCGAAAGAAGCTGAGAGCCTCGGAGTAGCCAGGACCGAGCCCGGGCCCGCCGCTGGCGCCAAAGTTCTGGGGGATTCCCCCTGCCCAGAACCAGCGCATGAGCACGTGACGACCGGAAAAGCGAAACGGCAGCGGAAGACGACCGCGAGGCCTAGCGCCTCATGCGCCTGCGCTTGCGCCTGCGCCTGTGCCGGGATTGGCCGAGCAGCCGCGGGGCGGGGCCGCGCAGGCGCCATGGACGCGGCGCGACGCAGGCGACTGTGAGTGCCCTGCGGCTCCTTGCGGGAGCGATAGGGCTGTAGGCCGGCCCCGCGCTGCTTCCGGGCGTCTCCTGCTCGCCGGTACTGAGTCCGCGCCGGCGTGGTCTGTTGAGTTCCGAGCACCAGGGGTCGGTGCGGCTGCTCTTGGCTTTTGGGACGAGACGGAGGAGCTGGGTGTCGGCCTCGCGGGACGATCCCCCGCTGACGTCGGGCAGCGTTGCGGGGAGGGAGGGCGCGCGGAGGCTTGCGGGGACCACCAGCGCTCCCGGACCCGCTCAGCGGTCCCTGCTTACAGGCGCCGCCCCGAGGAGCCTTGGCGGAGACCTAGCACGCCCCGGTGCGCAGAAGAGAAGCGGGGTCAGGTTCACGCAGTCCCACGATCGGATCCTTTGTTTTTTTTTTTGGAGCGGAGTCTCGCTCTGTCGCCCAGGCTGGAGTGCAGTGGCGCGATCTCGGCTCACTGCAACCTTCACCTCCCGGGTTCAAGCGATTCTCCTGCCTCAGTCTCCCGAGTAGTTGGCATTACGGGCGCCCGTCACCATGCCCGGCTAACTTTTGTACTTTTAGTAGAGACGTGTTTTGCCATGTTGGCCAGGCTGGTCTCTAACTCCTGACCTCAGGTGATCCGCCCGCCCCGGCCTCACTAAGTGCTGGGATTACAGGCGTGAGCCACCATGCCCCGCCGGCCAGATTGTAAAGTCGTTGGTAGCCCACGTTTCCTGGAGTTGCGTCTGGGGTCACCCAGCGGCAAACAAAGCCCATACCGCTTGATTCGCCTTTATACGCCAGGCCCAGTTCTGGCGAGGGGAGGTCACCGCCAGGAGCCCGGGGCCAGCTGATAATATTGTATTTGATTCCCTAGTCAAGGAGCTGGGTAATCGGCGATATCGTAACTTCTGGTGAATCCATCAGATGGCAACCATTTAGCCAGAAATATAAGGAAAGAGAAGCCTCCAAGACCCAACAGTGAACATGAGAATGGGTTCCATACCAGCAGATAAGAAGACAGTTTTAATGAAGTGCTGTATATGACGTGTGGACTAGTGTGAGGGCATAGAGCTGAGAAACAGGAGAGTTTGCACCCACACTGTGCTGTTTTCCACCAGCATTCACTGCGGGCTGGTGGTTAAGACTGAGGCAGAGCAGGAGACCAGAAGGCTTTGGCCGTGTTGCAGCCTTGGAGAAAGAGATGGCTGCCCCAGCTGGATCCTGTCTGGATCCTTCCTGGCAGTACAAAAACCTTAAACCACTGGGATATGGGTCCCAAATCCTGTCACTGTGGGCACCCGTGAAAACATATTTCAGCTGGGGATAGAGAAAAGGGATCCCCCAGGGTACAGTGGGGAGGCAGAAAACTGTCTTAGGACTGTATCATTAGGGTCTTCACAGTTGGGGAAGTGGCAGGATTCCTGAGAAAGCCTGTGACCCAGGGACACCCATCTCTTGATCTTGCAGATGGCATCCCATGCAGAGTGCCGTCCTCTGGGAGTGTTTGAGTGTGAACTCTGTGCCTTGACAGCTCCCTATAGCTACGTGGGGCGGAAGCCCCCCAACACCCAGTCGATGGTGTGAGTATGTGCCCTTTGGGCCAGTGTCAGGGAAGCCTGTGCCCAGTGCTGGTTGGTGGGTGCTGGGCCTAGGTCTGACACCAGCTTGGGTGTGGCTCTTTAGGTCCCACTCTGCCCGGGCTCTGGATACTTCCGCTGTAATCTCTGGAGGCCTGGGCAAGGCTTGGGGTCTGACTGACTCTTCTAGAACCTTCCTCCACACCTAGCCCAGAGTCCAACACCTGCTTTAGCTGTGGGGAAGCAGCTCAGCAGCTGGGAGGAGCTGTGGTGGCCTCACCGTCTGGGGCTGCGCCCTTGCCATGACACTGTCTTAGTGGGAGGCCTGTCCTTGTAGACCTGGACTAGAGCCGGTGGGTCCGGGGTCTTATCTCTTGACCTCCAGCTTGTCCTTCGTCAAATGCCAGTTTGTTGGAAAGCTGGCTGGTGTGTTACTCACATGGGATGCAGAGGTGGGGCATGGCTTTTTCTTCCTGGCTGTTGTCCCTCTGCTGACTGGGAGCCTGACTGTCATCATGCCACCCTGTGGTGTCATTCTGATGTGTGACATGAGGCCACCTGGCTTCCAGGGTCTGTGAGCGTGTGTCCTCCCTCGTGGAAGCAGGTGGCTTGGGGTGTAGGGGAGGTCTGAGGTGCTCAGATGGTGGCCTTTTGCCCCACTCTGGGGAATCAGTCAGGGCCTGGGGGCTCATGTTGGAGCAGCCCTTCTTTTGGCTGAGAACAAGGGTTTCTCTCTACCACAGCTGTTAGAGAGGTGAGAACAGGCCCAATTTCAATGCCAGTGTGGTCCCCAATTGCTGACCCTTTCTGTCACTGTCCTGCAGCACGGGTGGCCTAGTCCCCTGCCCGCCTGAGCCCACGCAGGTGTGCAGGCCCTGTGATGGTCCAGGCTGCTGATGCATGGCCGTTGCTCATGGCTGATTTTCCGACAACAGCGATTTGGGCCGTTCTACAGCTGGCATCTGTCTCCTTTAGCCTCCTGGAGGAAAGCTATGTTATGAAGGATCCCTTCACCTCCGAGAAGGGCCGGTTCCTGGTCCTTGGCTCGCATTGCAGTTTGTGCGGCAGACTGGTGTGTGTGGGCCCGGTGGGTAAGCTGCGTGGGCTGGGGCTGCCTGTCTGCTGGGGTTATCCTGAAGCTCTCCCTGGGTAGGGTGGCCTGGGAGGGAGGGACCAGCTGGTTCACCTCGTTATAGATGGGGCCCGCAGCTGATGAAGGGGAGAGGCGAGAGGGCAAGCCAGGGTCAGTTAGAGGGTCTCAGCCTGGTGTAGGAATGGCAATAGGTTCTTGGTGGCTCTGCCCCCAACCCCAGTGACCCCTCACGGTTCCTCCCCTTCCCACCAGCAGTGCAGATGGTCCTTGTCCAGGGACAGTGACTTACCTTCTAGATGTTCTTGAGGGCCCTTCCAGAAGAAGGGACTGTTCTTTCTTGAGCACCTGTGTGCCAGGCCCTGTGCTTGGGACCTGTTTTACTGCTGACGCTTCATTCAGTCCTGCCCCTAACTTAGGTAAAGCAGTATTCTATTCCACCCATTTTATATATGAGGGAACTGAGGTTCAGAGAGGCTGGGTGGGCTGGGTTCACCTGGGTAGCTGAAAACCTAAGGATGGATGGAAGTGGAGCAGTGTGGCTTTCACAGTGTGGCCAGTGTACTCAGAGTGATCCTGGAGTCTGAGAAGTCCCTGCATGTGCCATAGGGTGACATGTATGCAGGGGAGGTGTATCAGCAGCCAGGGGAACCAGATGGGCCAGGGTGGTAGGAGCCTCTGCAGTGTGGCATAGGGAGTGTCTGAGGCACATGGAGAAGCTGGTGGTCCAGGAGGAGCTGGGAAAGGAAGCCTGGAAAGGTGGGTGGGCCCGGTGGGGAGGTCTTGAATGCAACACCTCGGCCTTGGGCTGCTCTTCGAGAGTAGTGGTTGCGGGGCGGGAGGAGGGGTGCACACCGGTATCGTAAGTCTGCAGCTCTCTTTGTTTCAATAGTAGGTTGTTAACGAGCACATCTCCATGGCGAAGGGTCTTTTCTAAGAGCTGCAGGAGGGCAGCCTGATATTTGCAAGCACACTAAGCTTTAGGAACAGACAGACACCAAAAATGAGAGTGGCCTAAGTAAAGCAAATAGTTACTTACTTTCTCCTGTTGAGTCCAGAACTGGTGGTCTTGGCTGGAAGGGCACCCCTGTTGTCTTCAGCAGAGCCTCCATTTGGGTCCCTTGTGGCTGTGGCAGCTCCCAGCATCATATCTGCATGCCAGCCAGCAGGAAGGGACATGAGAGCACAGTCCATTCCTTCAAAGGGCATGACCAGGAGGTGGCACACAGTTGCTGACGCCCCTGACCAGGCTGAGTCACATGGCTATGCTCAGTTGCAGAGGGGCCTGGGGAATGTCATCCTTAGTCACGTGCTGTGCACCGTGATGAATCTTGGGAGTTCTAGTTTATAAGGGAGAGAGTCATGGCCGGACAGTTCTGGCCTCCTGCCTAGACTAGCTAGCTCGTCCATGGCTTCTTTGGTCTGTGGGGCTGTCCTTCCTGTCCCCTGCTGCTCCCAGCACCAGTGGCCACTGTTCCTGCTGCGATAACTGGGAGGGGAGGACTGGGATTTCCGGCTTTCTGGGCACAGCCTGTGCTCCAGCTTTCCATTGTTGTCATGTCACCGTGAGGGAGCAGAGCAGGCTCCAGAGTCTTTCTGTCCCATCCCAGCTGTTCCCACCCAGGGTAGCCCAGGCTTGCACTGCTTTTCTCCTGGACACCCTGCCAGGCCCCGAGGCCTGGCTCTCCCTCCTGCTGGTCTAGCTCTGGCTACGTGCCCACATTGCATGCTGGGGCCCCAGCCCAGCCTCCTGAGTGTGGGAAGGGCTGGCTCCTGGGAGAAGCTGCACCGTGTTCCCAAGATACTCAGTCTCCATCCTTGTCCCCCTCTTTCAGGAGTGCAGTTTATTCTACTCCAAGAGATTCTGCCTCCCTTGTGTCCGGGAGAATATCAGTGCTTTTCCTCAGGAAATTCGGCAAGACTTGGAGAAAAGGAAAGCTCTGTCCAAGAGGCCCCCTAGCCAGCCTGCTTCTCGGACGTGAGTGCAGCTGGGGCCGCGTCACTGGGGAGCACCCTGCACAAAGCTCCTGGGCCAGCCTGCGCCGGGGATGCTGCCGAGCTGGAAGCCGCACGCCTGGCCTTGTGTTTTCACCACTGGGAGCAGCACTGCAGCCCAGAGGAGCTGCAGTCCAGCTTGGAGCGGCCACAGGCACAGGGAGTTGTGCCGAGAAGGTAGCCAAAAGGCAGGTGCCAGACCAGACACAGCCAGGAACCCGGCCAGGCAGCCCCACGCACCCCTCAGCACTGAGGCCTGAGTGAGTGCTGCTCAGATGCGACTGTGAGGGACGACCTCCTTCAGCGGGGCAGCTCCTAAGAGGCCACCTGCAGGTGCATGTGCAGGAAGATGCCACGCCGTGTTGGGGCCAGGGCGCACTGTAGGTGGCTGTGATGGTCTCTGTAAGGAAAATCACTGACAGCAGCTGCCTCTGGAGCCAGCCTGGGAGGTCTAGAGGGTGACAGAATTTTCCTTCATATCCTTATGTGATGCTTGTGAAATGTTTTCAACCTTGACCATGTATTACATTTATAATAAAAACCCAGCTAATGTTTGGAAAAGGAATCTTCTGCTGAAACATCTGGATACCCGACATTCTCCCTGGGTACTCTGGGCCTGGCAATGGCCGGGGTCTCCTGGGAAGGTGAGTGCTGGCTTCCAGCCTCTCCAGTTCCCTCAGGCTCTGGCTTCAGCTCAGGGCCCTCCATTCTGTCTCCCACAGTCCCAAGTCAGGAATGCTGTGAACTTCCTGTCCTCACGTCGCACCTCAAGACCATCACGCTGCCTGCCTGCCTCCTGCCATCTCGAACACAGTCCTGGGTGCCTGCAAAGCCCAGCCCACTGCCTACCTGGAGCTCCTGCAGCACCCACTCCTCCAGACTCCCCATCTCCCTGGAGCTTCCAGGGTGGCAGTTGGCGGGACACTGATCTGTGCGCTCTGGAATGTCTGCTTCGAGTTCTGAGAGGCAGGAGCTGCTCTGTCGTAACTACTCCAGGCCAACTGTCAGGTGATGAAGGGATAAATAAAGAGTTTTTGCTGACTTATGTGTGCACTGATGTATTTGAAGACGCCCGCTGCTTTCAGAAGTGTCCCATTGTATGTGACTTCAGAGGAAAGGATGTCGTGTTCCGGATCCACATTGTCCTAGATCCATTCTGTACACGTAAGGACACGAAAGGGACTCTGCAGATGGAGAGCACCTCCATGAAGGGCGCAGGGGGTGTTCTGGCAGAGGGCAGACCCCACAGCCGGGGACTCGGTTCTTTTACACCAAACCGTCCATCCCGCAGCATCACTCAAAACTCACCAGCACATTTTAAAAAATAGTTTATTTTTTAAAACCATTAAGGCAAAACTGTACCCTGAAATTAACTGTGTACATTCATCAGTCTTACAGTAGGACATCCCGAACAGAAGTTCCCATATGGTCAGGATAGAAATCAATACGTGTGGTCAGTTCAGCCTCCTAATAGGGTAATGAAGACCCAAGAGTTTTTTAAAATTAAGGTTATTTTATGGCCATTTTCTAATTGCCTGGAACCAATCAGTTCACGTGACTAGAAAAATTACATCTGCCCTTCTCTGCACACCCTTGATTCCTGAGGTCCTGGATGCCCAGTCCCCCCACCAGGAGAGAGGTATGACATTGGAGAGAAGACGCTGGAGCCCGCGCGACAGTTCCTGCTTTGGAACTGCACCTGTTCAGCATAAATAAGAAGCTGTAAGCCCTGAAATACTGCGAGTATAAGGCACTCATGAATAGTAAGGGACGTGGACAGACAGCCCAGTCCTTGCCTGGGATTTGCACCGTTCTTGCGTCTGTCCACCCTCTCCCCTAGGGTTGTGGCATGATGACATTATGGGTCCCAGAGGACGTTACCAATATGCACCGATAAGTTCAGCAAGTCACTGGAAATGGTATGGGGAGACTCACAGGGTCTGTGGTTTCTGCTTTTCACTTTGGGTTGGGCCACCTGGAGGATGCCAGAGAACAGGCACGTGCAAACAATTTCCATCAGGACATTTCCGATTGCTGAAGGTCTTTGGTAATAACCCATAGGTACCGGTTCCCTGAAGAGCAGACAGCTATTTACTAAACAGGAGCAGTGAAGGGTCTTTAGCCAAACACTGTTGCATGAAATCGGTGGCCTCTAACCTGGAGTCTAAGGCCTTGCTGGTGAAGGTGACTAGAGATAGACTCTCTTGTGCTCTGTGCATGCACAGTATGGTAAAGGGAAGAGATTTCCACACTGGAAGTAAATTCTGCATGGCTCCGGTGAAATGAGAAGCTGTGTGCGCACCCACGCATGCGCAGTGTGTCTGAGTTGCTGATTTCAGTTTCCTTTGTGTTTCCAATAGGTTCAAGAGCCAGGCTTTTTAAGAATCTGAGTCAATGAACACGGATTTCAGAAGAATCCAAATGTTTGTTATTAGATGAATGATTGTAAGTTAGTAAGATATTTGTATTAGGATGCTTTTCAAAAACTCACATCACAGTATTTAAGATGTAGCTATTAACAGTTCTTTTTTGCCACACAAGGTAGAAAAAGTAAAGTGATATTTAACATGAACACTGTAATATTAGCGAAAAGAGCACTATGTGGGATTCATCTCTTGTGAGGTACATGAAAAAGGAACTGACTGAGCCTTTAAAAAAGTGAAGTTGCCAAAAGTGAGTGATTTTACTGTGAAATGATCGGCCAGTCCCTCCTCTTCGGGGCCGGAAGGCTGACCCCCACTGACTTGAGGCAGAGCCCAGGCCTGGGGTCCGGGGAAGGTGCCCGAACGTGTCTCCCGGGACTGTAGCATCCCCCCAACACTTGGGTCACCACTTTTCCTGGGAGCCAGGGTGTGTGGCACTTTCTCAGTTCATTAAATGAATGGATTTTTGCTGCCAGGTGTGGGCAGAAGAGCAGCAAGAAAAGAGGCAGCAGGTAGACATCCTTCTCACATTTGACCCAAACTGCAAACTTAAAAAAAAGCTGACCCCCACCTAGGTCTTAGTTTGCTGTCTCTGATGTAAAAATCATTTTTTCTTTTCGTTTTTTTTTTTGTTGTTGTTGTTGTTGCAAATAGTCCCTCTGACAGCCACGAGGCCACTCAAGTACTTGAGGTCATCAGCTGCTTCTATGAAGACGCAACATTGAACGTGGACACGGTCTGGTCTGTTTTTGTTGGCAAAGGACGCCGGAAGGATGTCGTCATATGTGTTTCAGGGGAACCACATGCTGTAGCTCCTCTCCCTCACAAAAGGAGCTCTCCAGGGGGAGAGAAGTAACCGATCATACCTCTCAGGTCTGAAACTGAAATTTTGAGAAGCAAATGGTCGGTTGACAGCTCCATTCCAGATCTGCAGAGATGTCCTCAAATAATCCAGAGCTGGCAAAAGGCAGAGCAGGCAGCAGCCCTGGGCACCAGCCCCTTTCTGTTCTCATAAGAAGCCCACACACACGGCTTTTTGTGATAAGCTTCCAGCCCATGCCACTGAAATAACATTCCAGAACGTGCTGCATTTCACAGAAATAGCATAATGGAAATCATTATGTAATTAAACAAAGCATGAAGCTCATCATGTTTTTCTTTTTAACAAAACTTCCAATTTCACATTTTAGTGTGTATTGTGGTTTCCAGAGAAATATATGGATCTCCTATATTCTGAGTCAGATCAAATATATTGCCTTTATTCTTTCTTTTTTTTTTTGAGATGGAGTCTTGCTCTGTAACCCAGACTGGAGGGCAGTGGCACTATCTTGGCTCGCCGCAACCTCCGCCTCCTGGGTTCAAGCGATTCTCCCGCCTCGGCCTCCCAAGTAGCTGGGACTACAGGCATGCACCACCACGCCCAGGTAATCTTCGTATTTTTAGTAGAGATGAGGTTTCACCATTTTGGTCAGGCTGGTCTTGAATTCCTAACCTCACGATCCACCCGCCTCAGCCTCCCAAGGTGCTGGGATTACAGGCGTGAGCTACGGCGCCCGGCCTGTATTGCCTTTATTCTTACCCTAGTCTATGGGGTCAGTGACCATTTTCCTGATTGCTATCAAAATGGCACCTAAAAATATATAAATCCTAGCAAAAACCTAGACCTCAACCGTTGGGCACCCAATCTTAGATCTCTCTAGGCAGAAGGCCTCTCAGTGGAATACATGCCCTGGGTAAGGGCCACCGACTCAGAAGCAGGAAGGCCACTGGATGATTTTATGGCATCGAATAATCCCTCGGTGAGACGCGCCTGGGTTGCCCTCGGCAGTCAAGGGAGGTTCATCAGCATTTGTTGGCCACAGTCTTCATCGATCTATAAAGCCGCAGCTGAGTGGCCCTTCCTGCCTTCCTGCCGCAGATATCTGGATGTTTCACTTTCAGACTGTGATGTCCGAAGGTGGCTTTGAATGACAGCTGCCATCATCGCTACCATCAGGGAGATGCACACAGCCCCCTTTGCTCGATGTAAAGATGTGGTGGGTAACACATTTCGGTGTGGCTGAACAAGTCAGCGTGGACCGAGTTAAGAGAAGCTGGGTCACTCTTAACATGAGAAGAGCAAATACTTCCCCATGCTTGGCAATGCCAGTGTGTAAAAATGGGAAGTGTTGGCACAGACTTCCTGTGGACGAGAGGTTCCCGTGGACACTTTAATGCTCACGAGCCCTCGGGTGGTGGCATCAGTCTTCATGGGTGACTTCTATGGACAACGTAATTTCCTTGCCTCTCCTGAATCTACAGCAGTGACTGAACGTGAAAGAATGTCCAGAAAGTAACCCCTTAGGAACCGTGCATCAGGCCAACCATGTTAACTGCAGAGGACACGGCTGGCCATGGGATTCGAGCTGAGGGCAAGGCTGCAGGCCCCAGGGTCACCTGTCCTTGCACTCACCAGGTGTAAGCATCCGGAAATAACCGGGAGGTGGCAGGAGGTGGAGAAAGTGCACCGTGCCCGGGGCCCAGCAGCCAGCAACGCCGGGCAGGCCCTACATCTGGAGGCTGATTTGCTGTTACAGCTTCAAACAGCTGAGGAGCAGAGGAGACTACAGGAACCTGCTTTGAAAGATGCCCAGAGCCATGGCATCCATGGGGGATGAGCTGTGGGCACCTGGCACATTCTTCTGTTGGCATCTGCATTTTGAAAGGTCACACTGTTGATGAGGTACCAGCTGGTGAAGGTGGCCAGCTCTCCCTAGGCCCCGGGAAGCCCCCCACCGAAGGCCAGTCTGGCAGTCCAGCCAGACTTAGTGGGTGCACTGGGCTTGCTGGGTTGAAACAATGAATCCATTTTAAAACTAGAGTCCATTGACACATTCCGAAGACAGGTGTGGCCACTGGATCAGAACCAAAAAACCTTCCGTCATGTATATGGCTGGTAAGTATCAAATGTGCCTGGAGTCACAGTGGTTTGAAAATGCGAGTTTGAGGGGGGAAGTGCTTGGAATCAAATGCAGAGAGGCACAGGTGCAGGCTCTGAGGAGTCAGATCTTCGGGAGTCACAGTTTCATCCAGGCTTCGATGCATGTTTCCATCCACGTCTGGTAGGGTCTCTCTGAGGAAGCCGTGTCTGCATGGCCAGCAGGAAGAGGTGAATAGGAGAGGGTGTGCTGGGGGCGGGGGTGGTCACTGCAGGCCGGGACCGTCGGCCGCTTCTCCTAAGCCCAGGTCATGCCCAATGTCAGTTTCATCAAACTGGGGCAGCACCTTTTGCAGGTGAGTATCTTCAAGGCTCTCTTTCAACAGCCAAAATTCCTCCTGGACGTCATATGAGCTGGGGCTCCTCTGTGTGTCGGCAGGCTCAGGCGTGCCCACCTGAGGAGTCTGTGTCCCACCTGCCCCAACTACAGAGGCCGCAGTGCGGTGGGTGACTCAGCCTAGCACGGCCTTTTGAAGGACCCGCTGAGGTATTTGTTACATTGTCCATTGTGGGAAAGTGGTTGCAAAGCTGTTGACCTTTCATGGTATGGCATATCTTTCACTGTGCCTTGAGCCCCTGCTCAGCCCTGGGAGGCTACCCTGACCCTGGAACCTCCAGACAATGAATGCTCCAGGCAGGTTGTTTCCCTTGGGGCCTTAAATGGCCCAGTGTAAGAAATGCATCAGCGCAGCAGAAAGGTACCTTCTCTGCTCTTAAAATGCAAAACAAAACACAACTCTTTAAAACAGGGACAGCTCTCCTGGGCATCCTTGAATGCCGAGCTCTGGGTTTCTTTCTGCCCCACTTCATGTTGGTAATGTTCATATAGCAAACACACCCTTTAGGAAGATGCTTTATACTCTTCGCATCAGAGCTGGAGGAAAGGTCAAGGCGAAACTGGCAAGCATGGTGGGAAGAAAGGCACCAGCAGCTGCCAGCCTGTGCTGCCCGCCCTGCTCCTGCCGCTGTAACTGGAAGCATCTTGTTTTGACAATTCATCCAAACAGCCTTAGGCCTGCGCAGTCCCCCGGCCTCTGGAAGTATGATGGGGACAGAATTCAATGCGTGGGACACCCAGCTGGAAGTGCCAGGAGGTGGGAAGGGAGGGATGCGCCGCCAGTCTCCCTTGGACAGCGGAGAGGCCTTTGTCTGCTCCCGAGCCACAGCCAGCTGGCACACGAGAAGCACGTCTGGGAGGAGCCCCTTGCTGTCCCTTCACTCTGGTCAGCACGATAGACCAAGCCTGGCTGGTCTCTGAGGACTCTGGCAGTTTTTGCTATTAAAAGTTGAGAAAATGAAGAACCATGTTTAAACAATGACTTGTTGAAGAGTGGGTAAAGCTGGCGACTTCCTGCATTGGCTGCCAGAGGGAGTGGGTACCACACATGCGCTCTGACACTCCTGGAATCTGTCCTGACATCTCTTTTGTACTTTTGGCTGATGTCTGTTGAAACCCAGCAAGCAAGAAATGCACTCCGTTAATAGCTCCCATTTGAACTGGGGCGTGATCCGCCTGTATTAGAGTATTAATGACCTGGGAAATCTATGATCAGGTGAACCAAAATATCCTAGCATTGAGTGGCAATTAGTGGTTTTGTTGTTTAAAGAAATAGGAATGTGTGATTTGCTTTCCTGTCAACACAAGAGACCAATGTCAAGTGACTTTCAGCCTGAGGTCACTGGTCTCCGTTCCAGCTTCAGCAGAGGTGTCCCTGGTAGTCTTGCTGGCCTTAAGAAAACCAAACGCTCACCATTGCTGCTGAGCGCCCCAGGAGCTCACGTAGAACCTGGCAGTCAGCTTACCGTTACTGCTGAAAGTTTGAGACAGGGAGGTATTTTAAACAGGTCTTATGAACGTTTAAGCAGAACGATGATTTATCTGAAAACCTCGAGGCTCACTTTCCTGGGCCACATCACCTTTAGAGGCACAAGGCACATCAGAGCGAGCGGTTGCAGGGTCGTTGGAGACAGCACAGGCTTGGCATGGGGCTCCAGCCCCTGGGTCTCATCAGCACAGAGGCTTCTCATTTTAGGAGAGAATATTGAAATGGATGCACCATGCCACTCAAAGGCTAGCTTCTTTCTGAATCAGGATGGCCACTTAACGGGTGGCCTATATGGAAACGCGCTTATTTGCTTCTGATTCCTAAGACACTTGGGCAGACTGCCTGCTGCTGCTGCTATTGCTGGCCAACAGGCCCTGTGATTGTATCTTTTATTTATTTATTTTTTTGACAGGGGTAGGGCTGGAATCTCACTCTGTCACCCAGGCTGGAATGCAGTGGTGAGATCACAGCTCACTGCAGCCTCAACCTCCTGGGCTCAAGCAATCCTCCCACCTCAGCCTGCAGAGTAGCTGGGATTATAGGTGTATGCCACCACAGTCAGCTAACTTTTAAATTTTGCATACAGACGAGGTCTTGCTATGTTACCCAGGCTGGTCTCGAACTCCTGGGCTCAAGTGATCCTCCTGCTTTGGCCTCCCAAAGTGCTGGGATTCTATGTGTGAGCCACTGCGCCTGGCCTGATTGCAAAAACCAAAACAGGACTAAATGTGTGATTTTTAAAAAAAATGGATGTCCTAATCCCAACTTTCGCTCGTTTCCATTGGAATTCTCACACTGTGTGCTTCCCGCTCGTGCATTTTCATAATGCTGGTCACGGGACCCTTATCATCCCAACCATTCTTAAACTAACAATGACCTCAGAAAAGCCAGATTTTCTAAAGGGGGGAAGCGGCATCGACAATACGTCCAGGTGCCCAGCTACTCCCTGGAGGCGACAGTCCTGGCAGGCTCAGTCCCGATCTGAAAATTCTCAGTGGGACGATTTGTCTGCCAGGTGGACACAGTCAGAAAGAATTTCCAGGTCACGACAAACTGCCATAATCAAAGCTGCTTTCCCAACTGGACTGAGGTGGGTAAGTTGATTGTGAAGGCTAAAACAAATATTTTAGACGTTGAAAAAACTAGCTTATATACAAAGGAGACTTAATAACCTAAACCACTGTAAAAAATAACCAACTCTTGTGAAATCTGCCATTGGAAAAAAAACTTCCATTTGAAGAAGACCCTACCCCCTCTCTAGATCCGCAGGGTGACCAGCTCCCACCCAGCCCAGCTATGAAGTCATGTGTGCCTCGTCTCCGCTCAAGAGAGCATCTACTCTCCCGAGAGTTACCACAATAAAGCATCATATCTTTAAAAGCAACATAACAGAAGACATGGGAGCTGCCAGATGGGGCCCGGAGGAACATTTACAAGTAAGGCGTCAGTCTGTCCGTAAGAATACCACCATGCCCACAGACAGCCGGACTGGGTGGGTTCAGGTTGACAGGACAGAGCTGAGTGGACCGGGTGGGCTTCGGGAGCTTGTCTTGTCCCGCTTACCACAGGTGCTAGCTTACGACAGTCCAGATGGGGGTCTTGAGACTCCATTTTCTGGGCTCTTCTACGCAAACCTGGAAATGGGCTTTTCCACATATTAGTTACAACCACGAACACTGAACCAAAAACAAAGCAACAGCTGCATTTTGATAGCTTATCCAACAGTTCTTTAAAATTCTCCATCCTATGACTGAAAAGCAGCCTGTTGCCTTTCTTTAGAGTCAGGAAACAGAAGTGAAGTCTTTGAAATAAATATTTTGCTGCTTTTCACATACCTCACCTTTGGATATACACCTAGACTTAGAGGCTGATAAATGTTAAAAGTGCGGATCAATTTTCAGAATCACAAAGGAGCGCTATGTCAAAAGGTGGGTGAATGGGAAGCCAGGCCACGAATTTTGAGGTTACCGGTTAATTAAATGGTAAATCACGAACGTGATCTAAGGGGCGAGTTAAAATCAGACCACTGAGCATCATTCTCCTTAATTTCCCCAGTCCTGAGATGATCAGCCGCCTCCCACCAGGATTTGAGTTCTGCACTCTCAGAAGCACCGGTTAAAACAAAGACGTGGGATAATATGCCGGTTACCTACAGCTTAGACCGTCCACGCTCTAAGGTTAAAGTGGCGCGTCTCTGTGCAAAATCGCGCCGCTCCTCTCTCTCCTCTGTAGTGCTGTCAGCGTCAGAAGTCCCGGAAATGGTGTGGCCGACCCGGGGGCCCTCAGTACATGTCCCTGTAAATCTCCTGCAGCAGCGGGTGCAGCGCGGCGTCCGACTCGGTCTTCTTGATGATCTGCACCAGCTGTGCATGCTCCGTGACCAGCTGCCGGAGGTCCGCCATTTTTTGAAGAAGTTTTGGGAAGAGAAAGCTGTCGTCCGGGTGGTTGCTCTGCAGGTGGAGTCTGAGCACGTGCACAATACCCTCCTGCATTTTCTCAATGTGTCCTACGTTTAGGAGGCCTGGGCGATCTAGGCTCGAAAGGAGAGAGAGATGTTTGAGTGTGATGATCACCTAGGAACCAGCCGTGCCTATTTTATACGGCCTTTTTTCTTTTTCTTTTTGAGACGGAGTTTCGCTCGTTACCCAGGCTGGAGTGCCAGGGCACAATCTCGGCTCACCTCAACCTCCGCCTCCTGGGTTCAGGCAATTCTCCTGCCTCAGCCTCCTGAGTAGCTGGGACTACAGGCACAGGCCACCATGCCCAGCTGATTTTTTGTATTTGTAGTAGAGACGGGGTTTCACCCTGTTGACCAGGATGGTCTCGATCTCTTGACCTCGTGATCCACCCGCCTCGGCCTCCCAAAGTGCTGGGATTACAGGCTTGAGCCACCGCACCCGGCCTATGCGGTCTTTCTTAGAAAACACTGAGCTGTCTTTAGATATTGTCAGCTTGACTGGAAGATACACTTGGATTTTGACAAAGTCACTAGGTGAAGTAGGGACAGACAGGACCCGTGCTCTTTCCTAAATATTCATACTACGAGGCTGCAATACTGCCCTCAGTCCATCTTATGGGGTGGCCCTTTCACTTCGGATTTACCACCTGTCCTAGAAAAAAATTGGAGCTATTAGGAGGAACAGTACATTCTGGAGATGATCACCACCACCAATTTTGCATAATGTGGGAAATGAAATTCTTTTTCTTGAGTCGAAACTGGATGCTCAGCTGCAAGCCTTCCGCCATATTGAAGGAATGGGATGTGTTAGAACTAGGTTTTGTGGGCCGGGCGCGGTGGCTCACGCCTGTATTCCCAGCACTCTGGGAGGCCGAGGCGGGCGGATCGCCTGACATCAGGAGTTTGTGACCAGCCTACCCAACATGGTGAAACCCTGTCACTATAAAAATTACAAAACTTAGGCAGGCACTAATCCCAGCTACGCCTGTAATCCTAGCTACTCGGGAGGCTGAGGCAGGAGAGTCGCTTGAACCCAGGAGATGGAGGTTGCAGTGAGCCGAGGTTGCACCACTGCACTCCAGCCTGGGTGACAGAGTGAGACTTTGTCTCAAAAAAAAAAAAAGAACTAGGTTTTGTGTTACAGACCTTTCTAATATAAGTCAGGTGAAAAGAAAGTAGAGAGAGAAATGAGGTGGGGTCAGGATTGCGGCATACTGGCTGGACAGGATGATTAGGAGACCCTGGAGTGGGTGGGGAGGAGAGTGGGGCAGGTCTGAGACTTGGTACAGGAAGTGCCAGCGTTCACATCAGATGACCTCCCTGGGGTAGCTGGTACTAACTAGACTTCCTGGGACAGTCTCAGCACGTGAGACCTGACTCTTGGTCCAGAAAATGTTGCCCTGAGCCATGTCCAGCAGGCAGTGCTCCCTTTGCAGACCCACGTATTGCTGTGATTCTTACAGTGTTGCTAGTGATGAGGATTTAAAAATCTTCATTGTTTCTGGTTGTAAATATAATTCTAAAGTTATTTTAAAAACTCTTGTTTTCATATTGTTTTAGTGATGGGGTCTTGCTATGTTGCCCAGGCTGGACTGCAACTCCTGGGCTCAAGCAATACTCCTGTCTCAGCCTCCAGAGTGGCTGGGGCTGTGAATATGAAGTCTCTAAAGAACGTAATTATTGCCAGGCACAGTGGCTCATGCTTGTAATCCCAGCACTTTGGGAGGCCGAGGTGAGTGGATCACCCTAAGGTCAGGAGTTCAAGACCAGCCTGGTCAACATAGTGAAACCCCATCTCTACTAAAAATATAAAAATATAGGGTGTGGTGGCACACGCCTATAATCCCAGCTACTCAGGAGACTGAGGCAGGCGAATCACTAGAAGCCAGGAGGTGGAGGTTGTAGTGAGCCAATATCGTGCTACCACACTCCAGTCTGGGTGACACAGCGAGAATCTGTCTCAAAAAAAAAAAAAAAAAGGAATTTTTTGAGAAGTAGAAAGAAATCCCCCCTCATAATTTTAATCTCACCATTAATAGATTTAACATATATCCCACTGGACATTTTTCTATACACATAGGATTGATAGAGGATTACAATCTCTTTCATAAAACTTTGATCATGCTCCGTATAAATAGTTCTGCAATTGCATTTACCCACGATGCTACATCTTGACCACTGGGGGCATACTGGCTGGAAAGGACAAATTATGCGTAACTGCTTTGTCCTTGTACACTTTATGCCAGATCGCGAGGACTTCCTCCATCTGACTTGTGCCCAGCCAGACAGTAACAGGCATGGCTGGTAGGGCTGAGTCAGCTTCATGCTGAGAGTGAGTCAATCTCTGGGGCGCAGTATGGCTGCAGGCAGTGTGGGAGATAGTCACCCCGTCCGTCTCCACCGAGGCTGGGTAAGGTCAGCCGAGTCTACGGTAGGTGGATGACTTTCCTAGACTTGAGACAGGGCTATTTAAGGCAATGTGACACTGAGCCAAAAATGCAGGGGCTGCAGAGCTGGCTTCCACAGACACGACCAGATCTGCCTTCCCCCGGATCTGCTTCCTCGGGCAAAGCAAACCTTGCAGTCCCTGCCACTCGGTACTGACGGGTATTATACTTGGCCTTGGGAAATATATTTTGCATCAACATAACCGAGTGTGACAGCAACCATACTGACGTGTGTATAGCACTTCATACGACAGTATAATACGAACACAGCCACCTCATTAGATCATATCTTCAGGAATATCACAATGTATAATAAGTTATATCTGTTTAACATATTAGACATAATTATAAACAAATGTGTGTGTGTGTGTGTGTGTGTATATATATATATATATTTTTTTTTTTTTTCCTGAGACAGGGGCTTTCTGTCACCCAGCTGGAGTGTGGTGGTGTGACCCTGGCTCACTGCAACCTTTGTCTCCCAGGCTCAAGTGATCCTCCCACCTTGGCCTCCCAAGTAGCTGGGACTACAGGCACAGGCCACCATGCTTGGCTAATTTGTGCACTTTTTTGTAGAGATGGGATCTTGCCATCTTGCCCAGGCTAGTCTCAAACTCCTGGGCTCTAGCGATCTACCCATCTAGGCTCCCAAAGTGCTGGAATTACAGGCCTGTGTCCGACCTCTTTCTCTCTATATATTTGTGCAAAATATATATATATTTTTAAAGAAGCAGGGTGTTGTTCTGCTGCCCAGGCTAGAGTGCAGTGGTACATTCATAGCTCATTCATAGCTTGAACTCCTGGGCTCTAGGGATCCTTTTGCCTCAGTCTACCAAGTGGCTGGGACTATAGGCACATACCACCACACCCGGCTAATATTATAATTAAGATGTCATACATTTACATAATATGTAAATATGTATTTAGATATAATAACAATATAGGCCAGGTGAGGTGGCTCACTCCTGTAATCCCAGCACTTTGGGAGGCTGAAGCAGGTGGATCATGAGGTCAGGAGATCAAGACCATCTTGGCCACGGTGAAACCCTATCTCTCTATTAAAATACAAAAAATTAGCCAGGCATAGTGGTGTGTGCCTGTAGTCCCAGCTATTCAGGAGGCTGAGGCAGGGGAATCACTTGAATCTGGGAGGTGGAGGTTGCAGTGAGCTGAGATCATGCCACTGTACTCCAGCCTGGTGGAAGAGCAAGACTCTGTTTCAAAAAAAAATTAAAAAATATATATATATACATATACATATACACATACACTATATAATGTACTATACTATTATACAATATTATATATGCCATGATGCACTATAATATTATACAATATTGCTGTAATTCCCAGCGAATTCTACTCAGCGGTGACTGAGGGTCAGACGTCTTCCCACCCTGTGAGTGTCCCCGGCTCTGGAACAGCTAAAGCTGCTCCTGGATTTCCCATTGGAACCTGTAAGTAACGTGATGCCAGCAGCTCACATCCACTCACCTCCGCAGCAGATGATAGCAGCCACGAAGAGGGAGATGTCGCTGTCATCCAGTTCCAGTGCATTGAACTTCATGGCAAAAGCAAACTTGGGCTCCATGATGTCGCAGAACGGTTTCCTCAGGCTTTTCAGGAACTCACGAGTTATAAACCCATTTCCATACGCTACCAGCATCCCGTCTTTGTTCATCACGGAAGACAGCATTGCAAATATGGCCTCGTAAACGCCGTATTTTAGCAGCGTCACCTGATCATTCAGGTCCAAGTTTGCGAAGCCAGGGATGGCCTTGGCGAATTCCGTGAGCTCCGTGACGGTCTCCACCGACGTGCACTGGCAGCAGTGGAAGATGCGGACCTCCGCCTCCTTGTTCTGGATGCCGTTGGCCACCAGCTTGGCCACCAGTGTCTTCTCAGCCATACACAGCGTCTCCATATCATGTATGACAAAAGGCTGCAAAGAAGGGCACCGAGGTAAGTCAGGTGATGTGGGAGGAGCTGCACTCCTGACCATCAGTCACTAACGAGCAGCTCCTGCATCTCCACATCGCCACGCTCGGTGCCTCGGAGGACTCAAGGCAGCCACGGAACACAGTTCTCACTCAACTTCAAAACCAGTTGGGGAAAATAAGATACTGATAGAGAACAAACAATACACATCAGGAAATTAATCATCATCATCGCCTGACATCGGGTGGATTTTGTTGCTAAGAAACTGAAGTACTGGGCCGGGCATGGCGGCTCACACCTGTAATCCCAGCACTTTGGGAGGCTGAGGTGGATGGATTACCTGAGGTCAGGAGTTTGAGACCAGCCTGGCCAACATGGTAAAATCCCATCTCTACGAAAAATACAACAAAAAATTAGTCAGGCATGGTGTGTGCCTATAGTCCCAGCTACTCGGGGGGCTGAGGAAAGAGAATTGATTGAACCCGAGAGGTGGAGGTTGCAGTGAGCTGGATTGTGCCACTGCACTCCAGCCTGGGTGACAGAGCAAGCTTCTGTCTCAAAAAAAAAAAAAAAAAGAAACTGAAGTACTGATTTTGGCAACAAAACTAACAAGAGGATATTAGGGAAGCACCTTTAATATTCTTAAATATTCTCTGAACTCCTAATGACTATCACGAGAGGCTTAGTTACAATAATTCTTAATTTTTGGCATATGAGCTTTAGAGGTAAATGCCATCATTGAACACGGCTGAATGAATAAATTTGGCATGTAAATATGCACAACTCAGCAAGTCGGCATCTGTGTAGAAATCAGCAAACAAGCATGTTATGCTCTTTAGGGATAAAGAGGAAAAGCCTCGGAATGCTCCTGTTTCTCTCTGTGCAGGTCACTGAACCTTCACTCAGTGCTCCACATTCTGGAGCTAGTGCCAGCTCCCTGCAGCCATGCCCTTCGTGCTGCCATGCCATCTGCACCTGAACCCAGGGGCCCGCCATTTCCCTGGAGGAAGAGGTGGTTGGCCATATTATTTGAAGCCAACATGCTCGGAAGGGTTTAGGTGTGTGGTAGGGCTGAGGAGAATGAGCACACACAGTGCTGTTGGCTGAAATTTACATCTGTGGGCAGAGCAGGAAAGTGACAGCATCCGAGAGCTCCCTCTGACTATAATGTGGTCTATGGCTCGTGCAAATACAGGTCAACAATGCAGTGGGTTAAGGCGTTCTTTTTCCTTTCTTTTTCTTTTTCTATTTTTTTTTTGAGTTGGAGTTTTGTTCTTGTTACCCAGGCTGGAGTGCAATGGCACAATCTCAGTTCACAGCGACCTCAGCCTCCCGGGTTCAGGCAATTCTTCTGCCTCAGCCTCCCGAGTAGCTGGGATTACAGGCATGCACCACAGAGCCCAGCTAATTTTGTATTTTTAGTAGAGAATGGGTTTCACCATGTTGGTCAGGCCGGTATTGAACCCCTGACCTCAGGTGATCTGCCCGCCTCAGCCTCCCAAAGTGCTGGGATTACAGAGATGAGCCACTGTGCTTGGCCTAAAGTGTTATTTCTAATTGCTGCTGGAACATTGGAACCCAGAGTGCAGAAGCATCCCAGGGATTTAAAGAATGTCCCCTGCCAGTGGGCAAAGCTCAGCCACTGACTCCTGACCCACAGCATGAAGCATTCCCTTTCTGGGCTCACAGCACACAGCTGTCTTCAGGGCACCACTGGATGTGCCGATAACAATCACACGGATTGTCTGGAATGTGTCAACAGAACTAGGACTTGCAACATAGTGCCGGACAGAAAAACCCCAATTCTGCATCTGAGGAAAGGGGGTATTTTAAAAATGACTCATGAACGAGTGAAAACATTCTGAATAGAACATTCAGAGTCAAGTTTCTATATAATCTCAACTCTGATTAATGAAGATTGAAAATGACCTCTCCAAAGACCTTAAAAACAGTCCAGATGACCAGAGTTTGTTAAGTGTGGAGTTAATTCTGCTTCAGAGGAGGTTGAAGCTCAGGTTTAAGGAATTAACATTTCTAGGAGGGACTAGATAAATATTTTTAAAGGATCAATGGCAGGATTCCCTCAATTCCAGAAAACAGACTATTAGGCCACCGTCACTTTATTTAAATCACTAGATCTTTCTAAAGTACATTCAGCAGAAATAAAGCTGTTAAATAATTTTTTAAAAATCAGTTCTGTGGTTTAAAAAAGTTAAGAAATACTGAGTTAAATGAAGCTGGGCATCGAATAAGCAGAGGTCCCTATGGTGTTTGATTATAGCATGCTTGGTGTTATTTTATTTTATTTTTTGGTAGAGGATCTACCCGCCTACATAATTTATGGGACCCAGAGCGAAGATACAGGTGTGGGACCCCTTGTTTGTTTTTTTTTGTTTGTTTGTTTGTTTTCTTTTGAGACAGAGTTTTGCTCTGTTGCCCAGGCTGGAGTACAGTGATGTGATCTCAGCTCACTGAAACCTCCGCTTCCCAGGTTCAAGCGATTCTCCTACCTCAGCCCCCCAAGTAGCTGTGATTACAGGTGCCCGCTACCACTCCCAGTTAATTTTTGTATTTTTAGTAGAGATGGGGTTTCACCATATTGGGTTGGTCTTGAACTCCTGACCTCAGGTGACCCACCAGCCTCGGCTGCCCAAAGTGCTGGGATTACAGGCGCAAGCCACTGCGCCCTGCGGGACCCCTTGTTAAAAGATCATTACGGATTTCAAGCAGGCAACAGCAGAGCGTGAACATCCAAGCCCAGAGCCTTTTCAAGCTTGGGGCATCGTGAAACAGACTGGACACCCCGAAGCCCACCCTGGACTAGTTTTATGGGGGCTGTACTCTCATAAATGAGGACTTAAGTGAAGTGGTAACAAAGATCTCATTTCATTTTTATAAAATTATCACTTTGGTTTTAGAAAGTGGGCCACATTTAACAGGCAAAATTGTAATCCACTGAATTCAAAATGAGTGCTACCGTGAAGAAACCAATGTTTATTACAGCCAAAGTGTGGTAAAAACACACTTGCAAATTCGCCAAACTTTACTGATAAGCATTCTTGGTAAGACCTTTTTTTTTGAGACAAAGTTTTGCTCATTACCCCGGCTGGAGTGCAGTGGTGCAATCTTGGCTCAGTGCAACCTCCACCTCCCGGGTTCAAGCAATTCCCCTGCCTCAGCCTCCCAAGTAGCTGGGATTACAGGCATGTGCCACCATGCCCAGCTAATTTTGTATTTTTAGTAGAGGTGGAGTTTCTCCATGTTGGTCAGGCTGGTCTCAAACTCCCGATCTCAGGTGATCCGCCCACCTCAGCCTCCCAAAGTGCTGGGATTACCGGCGTGAGCCACTGCAACCGGCTGGTAAGACCACCTAAAAAAAATCTATGTGGCAGCTTACATTTAATTTTGGAATATGCCTTTTATACTCAAGATTGACTATGAATATATCTGACATGACAGGCAGTGATTTCAAATAAGCAAAATGAAGCCCATCATAAAGATTTTAAACAGCGTGAGGCAGAAAGCTGCCTAGATTTTCCCCAGTCAGTCCGTGCCGAGAGCAGAAAGCCCCCCTTGCTGCCACACTGCCAGCCCTGCACACACTCACGTGACCTGTGACGCTCAGTGACGCAATCACTCATGAGAATTCATCTCTGTTAACAGCCATCATCTTTTAGCAAAAAAGCAAAAGTGGGCCAGGCGCCGTGGCTCATGCCTGTAATTCCAGCACTTTGGGAGGCCAAGGCAGGTGGATCACCTGAGGTCAGGAGTTCGAGACCAGCCTGGCCAATACGGTGAAACCCTCTCTCTACTAAAAATAAAAATTAGCCGGGCCTAGTGGCAGACACCTGTAATCCCAGCTACTTGGGAGGCTGAGGCAGGAGAATTGCTTGAACCTGGGAGGGGAGGTTGGAGTGAACTGAGATCCCGCCACTGCGATAGAGTGAGACTTGGTCTCAAAAAGAAAAAAAATTAAATGTGAATCACTGGTAGAACTCCTTTGAATGAGATGATTTATTAAGCTCTAGGTTATGTTTTACTGTGTATTTGTAGAAATGGCATGAAATATGACGCACATTTTAAAATCTAAGGACAACTTAGGTAGTAGGCATGATACTGGACTGTCACGTGGCTGGCAACACCCCAAGACACGGGATAAGGTCACAGCTGTTGAAAGGAGAGGTCCTATTATAACACAGCACCCTGGACGTCACCCTTATTCCCAAGGCTCTGAAATGTTAAGAATAATGTTGGAATTCCTCTTTCGAAACTGGTCTTAAAAGCCATGCTCAACGGCATGTCAAAAATTAGTCTCCTTGTTTCACCTTTTTTCTTTCGTTTTTTTTTTTTTTGAGATGGGGTCTTGCTCTGTCACCCAGGCTGGAGTACAGTGGCGCAGTCACAGCCATGCAGTCTTGCCCTCCATCCTCCTGCCTCAGCCTCCTGAGTAGCATGAATCACAGGCGCATGCCACCATGTCCAGCTGACTTTTTGTAGATGAGGTCTCACTATGTTGCTCAGGCGGGCCTTTTTAATTTTTTCAAACAAGATATTTTACTCTGTTTAATCCCAACTTGCATGCCACACAAGCTATAGTGGACTCATGGTTTTGTCTAAAATTCAGTTATATTCTTAGAGGGTAAAAATGTCCACAGCTAATATTCAAAGACTGTAAAGATAATTCCCAACAATTTGGAGCAATAGGAGAATCTTTGAAATAAACACGATACACCCAATTCCTACTTTCTTCATTTGAACTGAATATAAGTTCTGATATACTTGTTAGCTTAAAAAGTAGCAATACAACGCCATTATCACCTTATACTTAGAATTTTTCTTCTTTTGTTTTCTTTTTCTTTTTTTGAGACGGAGTTTCGCTCGTTACCCAGGCTGGAGTGCAATGGCGCGATCTCGGCTCACCGCAACCTCCGCCTCCTGGGTTCAGGCAGTTCTCCTGCCTCAGCCTCCGGAGTAGCTGGGATTACAGGCATGCACCACCATGCC